CAATATCATGCTTTTCATAAAAAGCACTGTTTATCGGAAGAAAATAACATGCGAATATGAATATATCGCCATTATACTCTACTGCGTTTTTAACATCTTTTAATCTTAATATAACAATACAGTCTAAGATATTTTCTACAACTGTACAACTATTACTGATTAACTTTTTAATATATAATACAATTCCACCTCCCTTACCATTTACTCTAGGAAACATATGCGTATCATAACCATTAAGCGTAATATCATCATCTTGATTTACCCAGCATTCGTACAGACGTGTCATGATTTGTTATAATATTTAAAAAATCATGGTCTTGCAGCTTCACACTAAGATTTCTACAAACATTCCATGACATAATACTATATGCCCCACTCTCCTGTCTGTCCTATGCAGACTGCTGAGCCTCTGTAGGCTGGTCCTTGCCCGGTATGAGGACGTCATCTATCACTGCCTCATCCATCTCCATAACTTCCCTTACACTAGCAAGGTGATCTGAAACAGATTGACCCGGGTTAGACCCAGCCTCCCTATTTCCTTCAGCTGGCATGGCATCACCACCATAACCAGAAGTAGTAGGAGGGTCGCACAACAAACTTGAGCTAGAACCAGCCTCCCTCCTTTCAACTGGCGTGGCCTCACCACCACAACCAGGAATACTAGGAGGGGCCCACAAGCTTGGGCAAGTACTATGAGGGGCAGACGACAAACATGGGCTAGACCCGGCCTCCCTCCTTTCCTCAACTGGCGTGGCCTCGCCACCACAACCAGGAGTACCACACAACACTTTTGGGCAAAGCCCATCCTTTCCTCAACTGGCGTGGCACGCCACCACGGCCAGGAGTACTTGGAGGAATGCTCAACCATTTGGATATAGGACCATTATCAGCAAATATTGTAAACTGGGTGACATTGTGGTCGTCACCATGACCTGTACCGTCCTCAGGTGTATGGTGCATGGCTGAAGTTTTTTGGTAAGTATGTACCGAGTAGTAACTCGGTTGATCATACCGGGGTCTGGATGACGATTGGGCAAGCGTTGTGTTGGACTGGTCTAGTCCTGTGGGCGTGGAAGGGGTACGCGTTCTTTTCCCTCCTCTCCGACTGTTTGCTGACATATTTGCGGCTGGCGTTATAGCCGCTTCACCGTATGTTCTTTTTTGCATTTGCCGTCTTCTTTTATCATTATATGTGTAAAGTTCTCCATTCACATAGAGTTTATCTCTTACCAGCTTAACTCTATGACCCGCCCTTTTAAGGTCTTTTAACGCGGGATAAAGAATTTTCCGTCTCTCTTCCACCTCTTTAGGAAACTGTTCATTTATACCATAACTGGTACCTCTTAGAAGTCTACCACTGTCCCGCACCAATTCCAAATCTTTTTGAAATAGGAATGCAGCCACAATAGGCCTTGGTCTATCATTGTACCGTTTCCCAAATCTATGTACATTGGCTAGTTCAGCTGATTTTGTAATTTTCAGACTGTGATGGAAAAAGTCTTTAAGCTTTGCTTCAATTTCCTCATTGTGTGTTTCTGGGATGCCATGAAATATTAGGTTTCTTTTCATCGATCTACATTGTACATCTTCTACTCGCTCCCGCAAACTTTCCTGAGTTTCTAATACCTCCATCAGTGGATCTTCACCTGTGGAACACAAAGTGCCATGGGTAGGGAGTCTCCAGTTATTTAGACCAAGACTACTAAGTTGTGAAGACAAATTAAATCAGAGACCCAGAGGGCCTGTATCGCTCACCTGGAACTTTATGACCAACATTACTATATTTGTGCATATGTTCCATGTTTAACACATTCGACCCCTGTGACCTTGACTATGGGTCAAGGTCATTTCTTTTACTTGTATGGACTTCATAAAAGGAACATACTGGCCAAATATAATGATTCCAGGCTTTTCGATATTTCAGAAGAAATTGTTTAAATGTTTTAACACATGTTACCTTGAAGATTGGTCAAGGTCATTTCTTTTTGCAAACTTTTTAGGACACCATAAGAGGAACATAGTAGCCTAATATAATGATTCTAGGCCTTCTGGTATTTTGAAAGAAGTTGCTTAAAATTTTTTTAACACATTTGACCTCTGTGACCTTGAATATGAGTCAAGGTTATTTTTTTCGCAAACTTTGTTGGGTTTCATCAAAGGAACTATCCAGCCAAATATAATGATTCTAGGCCTTGCCGTATTTTGGAAAAAGTCATTTAAGGTTTTTAACACATTTGACCTCTGTGACCTTGAATATGGTCAAAGTTATCTTTTTGCAAACTTTGCTTGGCTTCATCAAAGAAACCTTCCAGCCACATATAATGATTCTAGGCCTTCCGGTATTTTGGAAGAAGTCGTTTAAATGTTTTAACACATTTGACCTCTGTGACCTTGAATGTTCCAGCCAAATATAATGATTCTAGGCCTTCTGGTATTATGGAAAAAGTCATTTAAAGGTTTTAACATATTTGACCTCTGTGACCTTGAATATGGGTCAAGGTCATTTCTTTTTTGCAAACTTTGTTTGGCTTCATCAAAGGAACCTTCCAGCCAAATATGATAACTCTACGCCTTTTGGTATTTCAGAAGTTTTTTAAATGAAAAGTTGACGGACGCCGGACGGACGACGGACGGACAGATGGACGACGGATGCCCTGCTATGGCATAAGCTCACTTGGCCCTTTGGGTGAGCTAACAAACATATAGGATATTTTTCATCAGGGTTGGTTATTTTTATTCTCAGTGATGTAATTGAAACAGATATATAACTCTCTGGAAAATAAATGCAATAATGCTTAAATCTTGACATTGTTACAATTTATTTGAATACATTCATATATATTTGGACTTTACAGCACAAATTACAAAGGAAAACATACATTACTGTACATGATGTAATGTGTTAGTTAATATTTGGTCATTGTAACAGAGCTTACAAAGGAAGAGAATTTATATACAATGTTTATGTAAACCTGACGATCCTCTAAAGAGGTGAATACTTTAAGAATAATTTCTATACATATAGAAATACTGAGGTACAACATGTCCAGCAATAGGTTTAAGTCCTATCAAACACATTCCATTGTAACATAGAAATAAAGTTTAGCATTAAAACATGTCCATATGTTAAAAACAAAACAGCAGGCTCCAGCTCTGGCCAGAGATAATCAGTGGATGGTGAACATTTTCAAACATGACATAAAGGAAATTGAAAACATTCCTTATCATTTCACAGCTGTTTGTTGAGACTGGTACGATTAATATATTCTAAGCATTAATTTTGCTTTAAACACTGTAGCATACACAATGTCTTAATCAGAGATACAGACCTGAAGATGATCACGTCAATATCATTTATAGTAACTCCTATTTAAGGGTTTGTTTCTCATTTCTGTTCTAGTTCTAATGTGTAAAATGAACCATTTCACTTTGTGGGAAAATCTAAACCATATTATTTCCAACACAGTAATTAGACTCATATTTGGCATCACTTTATTACATTAGGTAATCAATTTCACAAAAAAAAAGTAGTGTTCAATACAATGACCCCAGTTACTGTAAATTCATGTTTTTGTCGAGCCTCAATTTGGGCAGATTTTCAGAAACTTAGTTTTTCCTCGCTCTTGATTTCATGGGCACATAATACTAAACAAATCTACTGGTCTTAACAGTTTGTTGATAAATTCATTGAGTAAGAGTACCAATGAAATTAATGAAAATAAATGCCCCACAAAAATGAATGATTTTACAGTATCTGGGGTGAGAAACTGATTCTTCTCCTTGTGGACCTTTGGCTGATGTTTCTAGAAATATTTACCAGCATTAACAGTGGGAATTGTCATATACGCTGCTTTAAGAAATTTCATGTGTTCTAAGTTTGAAAAATGAGATTGGGTTTCAATTTATGTAATATCTTGACAGAGCTGCCACTGAAACCCAGTGGATGCAATGGCGTGAAACTGTACAGAGGATTTAGTTTGTACCTTGACACTCGGGGCTTCCCATTCAAGTGGAATGGTAGATTGCTGCTTTTCTTTTCTTTTTTTATTCAAAGAATAAAAAGTAAAAACCCATTAAATGTGTTCTAATTTGCTGACATAAAGAGCTGGTCAAATCGTGTGGAAGACGATTTGAAAGTTCAAAATTGGCCTAATCAGTCAGAGGGAATTTTTAACTCCTAAATGACCAGACTTGTATCATTCTTGATTCTTTACTGTTGATGTGTCACTATAATTCTCCGCCTCTGTGCTGATTCTTTACTGTTGATGTGTCACTATAATTCTCAGCCTCTATGCTGATTCTTTACTGTTGATGTGACACTATAATTCTCAGCCTCTATGCTGATTCTTTATTGTTGATGTGTCACTATAATTCTCTGTCCCTGTGCCGACTCTTTACTGTTGATGTGTCACTATAATTCTCAGCCTCTATGCTGATTCTTTACTGTTGATGTGTCACTATAATTCTCTGTCTCTGTGCTGATTCTTTACTGTTGATGTGTCACTATAATTCTCTGTCTCTTTACTGTTGATGTGTCACTATAATTCTTTACTGTTTCTCTGATGTGTCTTTACTGTTGATGTGTCAATTCTCAGCCTCTATGCTGATTCTTTACTGTTGATGTGTCACTATAATTCTCTGTCCCTGTGCCGACTCTTTACTGTTGATGTGTCACTATAATTCTCTGTCTCTGTGCTGATTCTTTACTGTTGATGTGTCACTATAATTCTCGGCCTCTATGCTGATTCTTTACTGTTGATGTGTCACTATAATTCTCAGCCTCTATGCTGATTCTTTACTGTTGATGTGTCACTATAATTCTCAGCCTCTATGCTGATTCTTTACTGTTGATGTGTCACTATAATTCTCAGCCTCTATGCTGATTCTTTACTGTTGATGTGTCACTATAATTCTCAGCCTCTATGCTGATTCTTTACTGTTGATGTGTCACTATAATTCTCTGTCCCTGTGCCGAGTTGATGTGTCACTATAATTCTATGCTGATTCTTTACTGTTGATGTGTCACTATAATTCTCAGCCTCTATGCTGATTCTTTACTGTTGATGTGTCACTATAATTCTCAGCCTCTATGCTGATTCTTTACTGTTGATTTGTCACTATAATTCTCTGTCCCTGTGCCGAATCTTTACTGTTGATGTGTCACTATAATTCTCGGCCTCTGTGCTGATTCTTTACTGTTGATGTGTCACTATAATTCTCTGTCCCTGTGCCAAATCTTTACTGTTGATGTGTCACTATAATTCTCAGCCTCTATGCTGATTCTTTACTGTTGATGTGTCACTATAATTCTCTGTCCCTGTGCCGACTCTTTACTGTTGATGTGTCACTATAATTCTCTGTCCCTGTGCCGACTCTTTACTGTTGATGTGTCACTATAATTCTCAGCCTCTATGCTGATTCTTTACTGTTGATGTGTCACTATAATTCTCGGCCTCTATGCTGATTCTTTACTGTTGATGTGCTGTTGATCATGCTCTGGTACCTAGATCTTAGAAGGTGTGCTGACATCTTAGGTCTCCGCTGTCGTGTGAATATGCCCTTTCTGTTGCCAAATGCCCGTGTAATGCCTGAAATGAAACAAATGCAAATTTAAATGTTAATTTACACAATCATTCAAGTATGTCCTTGTGATTCAGACAGAACACTAATTGGTATTTTCGTCAATACTCAGTCACCTCCAAGGTTTTATAGCTGAGTCCTAGAAGGATGAAACATCTCTTTAATTTTATCATTTGATTCTATTTTATCTCATTTTAAATTTGAATTGAAAGACGCTGTTGTATATTAAGCAGCAACAGCTATGTAATAAATGTCCTAAAATTTCGCTACATTTTTTTTCCAGAAAAAAACCCAGGATGCAGATATTTGTCCAGTTACATGGTGGGATGAAGGGCTATCATTTGTTTAAAGAATGACATTAACAGACTTTCAAAATCCAACGGGTCAAATGTTTTTTTAGAAATGAAAACTTCTTTTCCAAATTTTCCATTTTTGCATAGCATCATCCCTATATACCCAACCTATGGTGTTTACATGTTACAGTTGATTCAATATTCAAGGGCCTGTTCCCATTATTACTATTTTCGTGCAAGAAATCATCAACTGATGGACAAACTCATAACACATCGTTTTAAAAAATGCAAGATGACAAAAATTATGGGGAAGTTTTATGGTCGCCATAGTGATCTCATTGAGAATATTATATTTGTTTGTGTGATATGAAACTTGACATGTTGGATGCTCGTTATTTTGCCTGTTGGTAACATTGTTGTATACCTTGTTCTCATTTGATAACATCACTTTACTTACTTGGATTGACAAAGATTTACATGGCGGGTGTTGTTGATGAAGCAGAAGATACTTACTTTTGCTGAACATGTGGTCTTATTCTTCTTATACATTTTTAGGAGTCTCCACGTGAATCTTTCTTTTGTTCATATTTTGCCATTGTGTTACAAAGTTTGAGTTTGGATTATGATGACATGTTGGTATATCCAAAAGACCAGAAATTATTTGTAGTGTAAGTATGGTTAGGTGATGTGCTTTCAAGTTTAACAGAAGTTGACTCAACGAACAAATATTTCTTGGTAAACTGAAGATCAGGTGAACAATTCAGGCTCGTTAGACCTCTTTTACAGTTCTCAATTCAATTCCTTTCACTTAAAAACAATATCTTGCAACCCTGACATTGCAAATAGGGACAGTAATTCAGGCCCCTGCACCAACTGGACCACCAGAGAAATTATGTTGATGTCATGTGCCCAGAGAAGGTAATTACAATGACTGCCTTGTATTAAACCCCTTACAGCCGCCTTAACTGCCATTGGCTTGTTCGAGTCGTAACATCTATTTTTCATGCTTTGATGTTTAAACTTGAAAAGATGTTAATTTGTTTATCAAGTGGTAAATAAAACATGGCTGAATCAACAACAGTATATTGTTACCATGTTGTTTACCTTCTAGGAACATTTTACCATAGAACTGTAGCACAATATTGTACACTCCATAATTCAGTGCTGGCATGTTGGTCTGATAAAGGTGACAATGTAATGATTGAAATATCACACTGAAATCTTCTACTGGTTGTGTTAAGAACGTCTAACCTATATACAGCTGTTTACATTGAAATCTTCTACTGGTTGTGTTAAGAACCTCTAACCTATATACAGCTGTTTACATTGAAATCTTCTACTGGTCGTGACAAGAACCTCTAAGCTATATACAGCTGTTTACATTGAAATCTTCTACTGGTTGTGTTAAGAACCTCTAACCTATATACAGCTGTTTACATTGAAATCTTCTACTGGTTGTGTTAAGAACGTCTAACCTATATACAGCTGTTTACATTGAAATCTTCTACTGGTTGTGACAAGAACCTCTAACCTATATACAGCTGTTTACATTGAAATCTTCTACTGGTTGTGTTAAGAACCTCTAACCTATATACAGCTGTTTACATTGAAATCTTCTACTGGTTGTGTTAAGAACCTCTAACCTATATACAGCTGTTTACATTGAAATCTTCTACTGGTTGTGTTAAGAACCTCTAACCTATATACAGCTGTTTACATTGAAATCTTCTACTGGTTGTGTTAAGAACCTCTAACCTATATACAGCTGTTTACATTGAAATCTTCTACTGGTTGTGTTAAGAACCTAACTATATACAGCTGTTTACATTGAAATCTTCTACTGGTTGTGTTAAGAACCTCTAACCTATATACAGCTGTTTACATTGAAATCTTCTACTGGTTGTGACAAGAACCTCTAACCTATATACAGCTGTTTACATATAACTTTTCAATATTTGAAAATGGAGCATCTTTTTATTGCACTTCTATTTCATACATATAACAATGTGCCATGCTTATGATTCAGTAAAAACTTTTGAACAAATCTTATTTTTTTTTTCAGGAGTGAAGAAAACCATCTTTAGCTGCCATTATTAGCTTGCTTTTGGACAAAGTGAACTTTAGACATACTACAGCGGCCTGCATCTGTTCATCTGTCAACTTTTTATACTATTGCTACTAATCATGAATGACAAAACAGATTTGAGCCAAATTTTATCTGTAGCATCATGGGGAATGGGAAACCAATTTGTGTAAACGGTGGGTCTCTGGGGCCTGAAGGGCAGGGCCCAATAGGAAGAATAGAGCAAATTCATTAAAAATCCTACTAATCTTGTAGCAATGCTTGGATTTTACCCTTATTTGGTCCGGGGCATTCTTCTGTAAAGGGGAATTTTGTATAAACTGTTGGTCTTGGGCCTTATGGGACTGTAGGGGCAGAGCCTAATTTGGGAAATGGTAAAACGGTGCATTGGTATCACATCCACCTTTCACTTAGCCATCCCAATTTCAATTCCCAGAAAAGACCACGCCAGTTTTCCCTGGGTTTTCTGGTTCCCTTCCACAGTAAGACTCCTCTCATGATTCCATCCAGACCAACAAGAGTGTTTAATATAGGCTGAAAGCTTGTTTAGTAATTGTTGTAATAAAGTTTATATTTTAAAAGAACAAATTCATTCAAATCCTACTCCTAATTTGTATTCTGACATTAGGGCAAAGTGACCTCATGTGACCCCACCCCAAAGAATGATAAAATGACATCACACACTTCCAGATAACCTTATGACATAAGACAAAGAAAAGTGTGTTTTCTTTAATATTTGCAAACAATTTGACTATGTTACGGGCAAATTATGACCCGTTAAAATAACTACCAATCACTGTTTTTGTTCCTGTAGGTAGTGTAAAATGTCACAGCTGGCATGCTTCATTGGCTTAGTTGGTAGAGTTTATAGGTTATACACCTGACAACTGGGTTCCATTCCTGTTCAAGTTTTGGCAAATACCAGTCATTTATTTTAACAAAGTTGATATCCCTTCATCCGAGGAAACCACAAGCCAAGTATCATTGCCTCTTGGTTAATGGGATATTGTGTGAAGATTTCAACAAATTTGACTCGAAAGGGGATCAAGGTTATTTATTTGAACAACTTGCTGGTCCTTCAACTTAAACATGTTACTCAAATATCAATGCACTGGGGATCTTTGTTGTTGAAAAGGTTATTTATTTGAACAACTTGCTGGTCCTTCAACTTAAACATGTTACTCAAATATCAATGCACTGGGGATCTTTGTTGTTGAAAAGAAATTGTTTAAAAGGAAAAGTTGATGCCAGAAGAATGATGGAAACTGTACCATGACTCATTTACCAATTATATGTTGACTCCCTGGGAATAATGAGCTCCTGTCATATGTTGACTCCCTGGGAATAATGAGCTCCTGTCATGTTGACTCCCTGGGAATAATGAGCTCCTGTCATATGTTGACTCCCTGGGATTTATGAGATCCAGTCATATGTAACACAATGACTAAACACAGTGTTTACTTGGGTTAACCGAAACGTTTATTTCATCGTATAGTGGTTTTCCATAGTTAGTACTTCGCGTTAATATCCATTACAAAAGATAGTTCCTAATCAACATACAGCATCATGTCGTGGCACCAAAACTTAACACCTGTGTGAGGCAGACAGAAACTAAACATCTGCCCGTCCATATCAAAGAGTTCCATACAAATGTTCATGGGCCAACTTGGCCAGGACCCGCTCCATCGCGGAGCAGGTCCCATACGGGACTCTGCCCGTCTCCATGTCCGACTCCCAACTCTCTCTAGCTACTCGATCCCAGACTCGACTGCTGGCCATTATCTTTGTATAAATAATACCCAAATACTTAATTTAAGCCTAGTCCCAATTGGACAACAATAACCCAGCCCCCGGAGCATCTAATTATGAAGGCACGTGCGACTAGGAGTACCCGTTATCAACTTCCCATCTTTGATCTACCTTATACATTGTTTCTTATCTTGTTTACTTACAATGTGTTCTCCAGCGCGAGGCATACAAGAGAGCATCTATCTGTCCTGATCAATCATACTGGCGATATTCTGCCATGGTGCTTCACCACTTGGGTACAAACCCCGCCCGTTATCAGGCGTGCATCACTATCTATCACTCACGGGATCTTTTCCTCGGTCCAGTATTGACTGACTTTTGACCTGATGTACTTTAAACTAAGATGCTGCTCTCTACGATACACACCATTCCAAAATTACCATTAAACCCATTTTTTACTCATTTTGTTACACATATGTTGACTCCCTGGGAATAATGAGCTCCTGTTATATGTTTATAGGCTTCCTGGAAATAATTAATGCAGGATAAGTTCAGGAATGAGTAAGTCACCGATGTTATTTTTATCTCACCTGGTGTGAAAGACCACTGAGCTTATGACATATTGCAGTGTCTGTCATCCGTCCAGCATATGCGTCCATGAAAGACTCAACAGTTTTTGACTAAATTTGGTCAGAAGCATCCATGGGGTATTTCAACCACAAGGGTGGGACCTAGTATAGAGATTATTTGTCATATCTGATATTCTTTATCAAATGGTTGAATATGTAATTTATAAGGTGAGTGATGCAGGCCCCATGGGCATCTTGTTACAAATATCTGTCAGTTTTATAAAACTCTTATTTTCTCCACATTCTCAGAGATTTGTGAAATTCAATCATATTTGATGTTATGACCAGTCAAAACAAATCAAGATGAATATTGTTCACAGAAATGGTATTAAGCATATGTTGTAAAATGTAGTTCACCTTGAGCTGTCATAAAATCTGCAAAGTTCCACACCATTTCTCCGACTAGGAACTCGTGTCGTAGATTGTCAAATGTTTTATGGTATTCTGTCATAAACTCCACCTGGAACTCTTCTGTGAACACAATTGAAGGATCCTGAAACAGCGGTAGCATAAACCTCAGAGTCTACATGTACACTGCATCATTACCAAGGAATCAGAAATATTAAAAATCCACTCATTTATAATGAATTAAACATGACAAAGATCCTGGGATCCATTATTAAGCCTAGACACTGACCTTGTGTTGACCCTCTCAATGATGTCAACTAAATACCGGAACATACCTGATGAAAGTCCTCGATTGTGTCAGCTCCGTACTGGTACGTACCTGGTGAAAGTCCTCGATTGTGTCAGCTCAGTACTGGTACGTACCTGGTGAAAGTCCTCGATTGTGTCAGCTCAGTACTGGTACGCACTTGGTGAAAGTCCTGGATTGTGTCAGCTCAGTACCAGTACGTCGTACCTGGTGAAAGTCCTCGATTGTGTCAGCTCAGTGCTGGTACGTACCTGGTGAAAGCCCTCGATTGTGTCAGCTCAGTACTGGTATGTACCTGGTGAAAGTCCTGGATTGTGTCAGCTCAGTACTGGCACGTACCTGGTGAAAGCCCTCGATTGTGTCAGCTCAGTACTGGTACGTACCTGGTGAAAGTCCTTGATTGTGTCAGCTCAGTACCGGAACATACCTGGTGAAAGCCCTCGATTATGTCAGCTCAGTACTGGTACGTACCTGGTGAAAGTCCTGGATTGTGTCAGCTCAGTACTGGTCATACCTGGTGAAAGTCCTCCATTGTGTTAGCTCAATACTGGTACGTACCTGGTGAAAGTCCTGGATTGTGTCAGCTCAGTACTGGTACGTACCTGGTGAAAGCCCTCGATTGTGTCAGCTCAGTACTGGTACGTACCTGGTGAAAGTCCTCGATTGTGTCAGCTCAGTACTGGTACGCACTTGGTGAAAGTCCTGGATTGTGTCAGCTCAGTACCAGTACGTCGTACCTGGTGAAAGTCCTCGATTGTGTCAGCTCAGTGCTGGTACGTACCTGGTGAAAGCCCTCGATTGTGTCAGCTCAGTACTGGTATGTACCTGGTGAAAGTCCTCGATTGTGTCAGCTCAGTACTGGCACGTACCTGGTGAAAGCCCTCGATTGTGTCAGCTCAGTACTGGAACATACCTGATGAAAGTCCTGGATTGTGTCAGCTCAGTACTGGTACGTACCTGATGAAAGTCCTCGATTGTGTCAACTCAGTACTGGTACGTACCTGGTGAAAGCCCTGGATTGTGTCAGCTCAGTACTGGTACGTACCTGGTGAAAGTCCTCGATTATGTCAGCTCAGTATTGGTACCTACCTGATGAAAGCCCTCGATTGTGTCAGCTCAGTACTGGTACGTACCTGGTGAAAGCCCTCGATTGTGTCAGCTCAGTACTGGAACATACCTGATGAAAGTCCTGGATTGTGTCAGCTCAGTACTGGTACGTACCTGATGAAAGTCCCTGATTGTGTCAACTCAGTACTGGTACGTACCTGGTGAAAGCCCTGGATTGTGTCAGCTCAGTACTGGTACGTACCTGGTGAAAGTCCTCGATTGTGTCAGCTCAGTATTGGTACGTACCTGGTGAAAGCCCTGGATTGTGTCAGCTCAGTACTGGTACGTACCTGATGAAAGTCCTCGATTGTGTCAACTCAGTACTGGTACGTACCTGATGAAAGTCCTCGATTGTGTCAGCTCAGTACTGGTACGTACCTGATGAAAGTCCTCGATTGTGTCAACTCAGTACTGGTACGTACCTGGTGAAAGCCCTGGATTGTGTCAGCTCAGTACTGGTACGTACCTGGTGAAAGTCCTTGATTGTGTCAGCTCAGTACCGGAACATACCTGGTGAAAGCCCTCGATTGTGTCAGCTCAGTACTGGTACGTACCTGGTGAAAGTCCTGGATTGTGTCAGCTCAGTACTGGTCATACCTGGTGAAAGTCCTCCATTGTGTTAGCTCAATACTGGTACGTACCTGGTGAAAGTCCTGGATTGTGTCAGCTCAGTACTGGTACGTACCTGGTGAAAGCCCTCGATTGTGTCAGCTCAGTACTGGAACATACCTGATGAAAGTCCTGGATTGTGTCAGCTCAGTACTGGTACGTACCTGATGAAAGTCCTCGATTGTGTCAACTCAGTACTGGTACGTACCTGGTGAAAGCCCTGGATTGTGTCAGCTCAGTACTGGTACGTACCTGGTGAAAGTCCTCGATTGTGTCAGCTCAGTATTGGTACGTACCTGGTGAAAGCCCTGGATTGTGTCAGCTCAGTACTGGTACGTACCTGATGAAAGTCCTCGATTGTGTCAACTCAGTACTGGTACGTACCTGATGAAAGTCCTCGATTGTGTCAGCTCAGTACTGGTACGTACCTGATGAAAGTCCTCGATTGTGTCAACTCAGTACTGGTACGTACCTGGTGAAAGCCCTGGATTGTGTCAGCTCAGTACTGGTACGTACCTGGTGAAAGTCCTTGATTGTGTCAGCTCAGTACCGGAACATACCTGGTGAAAGCCCTCGATTGTGTCAGCTCAGTACTGGTACGTACCTGGTGAAAGTCCTGGATTGTGTCAGCTCAGTACTGGTCATACCTGGTGAAAGTCCTCCATTGTGTTAGCTCAATACTGGTACGTACCTGGTGAAAGTCCTGGATTGTGTCAGCTCAATACTGGTGTGTAACTGGTGAAAGTTCTCGATTGTGTCAGCTCAGTACTGGTACGTACCTGGTGAAAGCCCTCGATTGTGTCAGCTCCGTACTCAGTTATCATAATTGGTTTATGATATTTGTTGTACCATTGGCGGAGGTCATAGGTCAGCTGTCGTTGTATGAGCTCCGTGTGAGAGCAGTCTTGGTACCAGGCATTGTAGTGGTTAAGACAGATGATGTCAGTGTATTGGGCCTAAAGGTTAAAGGTTGAAGGCAATGTGAATAAATTACTGGTCCTGTGGTAAAGGTGAAAGGGTATATATACACTGTACAAATATTATAAACATTTCCCTATGTTACAGTCCACTATCATACACAGGTAATGAATCAGATCAGCTAGAGTCACCAAGGTGTTGGTGTTGCTATGGCAAAGAAATCTGTTGGATGTTTACTGGTGAGTTGTACCATAAAATTGGGTGACACAATAGTCCGCAGTGTCAATTATTTTATTGCAAGTAATATCCAGCTCATTTAATGGGCAAGTACATTTTTATTCATTTCAAGTGAACCAACATCAGCATTCTAAGACCCAATTGTCTGTCAAGCTTATCACTATACATTCTCAGCCCAATTGTCTGTCAAGCTTATCACTATACATTCTCCACACCACTGTCTGTCAAGCTTATCACTATACATTCTCCACACCACTGTCTGTCAAGCTTATCACTATACATTCTCCACACCACTGTCTGTCAAGCTTATCACTATACATTCTCCACACCACTGTCTGTCAAGCTTATCACTATACATTCTCCACACCATTGTCTGTCAAGCTTATCACTATACATTCTCAGCCCCATTGTCTGTCAAGCTTATCACTATACATTCTCCACACCATTGTCTGTCAAGCTTATCACTATACATTCTCCACACCATTGTCTGTCAAGCTTATCACTATACATTCTCAGCCCCATTGTCTGTCAAGCTTATCACTATACATTCTCAGCCCCATTGTCTGTCAAGCTTATCACTATACATTCTCAGCCCCATTGTCTGTCAAGCTTATCACTATACATTCTCCACACCATTGTCTGTCAAGCTTATCACTATACATTCTCCACACCATTGTCTGTCAAGCTTATCACTATACATTCTCAGCCCCATTGTCTGTCAAGCTTATCACTATACATTCTCCACACCATTGTCTGTCAAGCTTATCACTATACATTCTCCACACCATTGTCTGTCAAGCTTATCACTATACATTCTCCACACCATTGTCTGTCAAGCTTATCACTATACATTCTCAGCCCCATTGTCTGTCAAGCTTATCACTATACATTCTCAGCCCCATTGTCTGTCAAGCTTATCACTATACATTCTCCACACCATTGTCTGTCAAGTTATCACTATACATTCTCACTGTCAAGCTTATCACTATTCTCAGCTTATCCCCATTGTCTGTCAAGCTTATCACTATACATTCTCCACACCATTGTCTGTCCCACTATACATTCTCCACACCATCTGTCAATCACTTACACCATCTGTCAAGCTATCACTATTCTCCACACCATTGTCTGTCAAGCTTATCACTATACATTCTCCACACCACTGTCTGTCAAGCTTATCACTATACATTCTCCACACCATTGTCTGTCAAGCTTATCACTATACATTCTTGTGCTCTTTGTCTGTCAAGCTTATCACTATACATTCTCCACACCATTGTCTGTCAAGCTTATCACTATACATTCTCAGCCCCATTGTCTGTCAAGCTTATCACTATACATTCTCCACACCACTGTCTGTCAAGCTTATCACTATACATTCTCAGCCCCATTGTCTGTCAAGCTTATCACTATACATTCTCCACACCATTGTCTGTCAAGCTTATCACTATATATTCTCCACACCACTGTCTGTCAAGCTTATCACTATACATTCTCCACACCATTGTCTGTCAAGCTTATCACTATACATTCTCCACACCATTGTCTGTCAAGCTTATCACTATACATTCATTATAATCAGAACAATGGTGTGAAGAAACAAATGGAAGTAATTATGGCAGATCAGGATGCAAGTAAGAAGTCCCAGTGATAAGTACTGCAGGAGATGATAAACTTTTCCTATGATGAAGGTCAAAATTTAAGTCAGCATGACGTCCTTTTTATACTTCCCCCTTTCCCCCCTGCCAACTCCCTTAGAAAGATCTTAATATTCTCATTCATTTATATAAAAATGTTCAAAAAACAAAAAAACACAAAAAAGAATTGACTTACCACTTTATCTGAGCTAAAATCAGAGTTGGCTACAAAAGTGACAGGTCTTGTGCTGTCAATAAACCTCACATGAGAAAGAAGAGTTCTGCAAGGGGAGACAACCAAATATAACTTTTTATGTTAAATGGAGAACACGTCAAAAAACTAACTTACATATTAGAACAATTATCATGAGTTAAAATTAAACACATCATTGTTTATTGTTATCATAATTACTGTAAGAAATAAACAGAAATTGAAAATATGCAAATGTTTCCACATATTTCACCCTTGTGACCTTCACAGTGAACAAAGGTCATTCTCTTGAATGAATTTGCAAATCCCTTCATCAAAGCATGCTACTGACCAAGGTTAATGAAATTAATTCATTTGAACAGATGTATATGTCTTTCAAAACCTCTACTCACTGAAAGTAGTATATTGAATTGTCATGTGTTGTGTCCGGTTCATTTGCAACTGACCACAAGATGACCGCTGGTCTGTTTTTATCACGCCTGTACATCTCGTCCATGACCTTGAGATGGTGAGCCAAGGACAAATTGCCAAAGTTGTTGGCCCTTATGAGGAGATAGATAAGAAATCATAGGTATAAAGAAATAAAGGTAAATTTATTTCTTAATGTGCACTGCTGCAAACTCACTCTCTATTAAAGGAAAATAATAGTTTTTAAAAAATCTCTTTAGAAACAGATTGTTTACACCCTTAGTTATATCTATATTGCAATCCTCACAGTTCATGCTGAAGTTTGAAGTATGTTTGAAGTATCAACCCTATTTGGCCCTTGATATCAACCCTATTTGGCCCTAGATATCAACCCTATTTGGCCCTAGATATCAACCCTATTTGGCCTTAGATATCAACTCTATTTGGCCCTAGATATCAACCCTATTTGGCCCTAGATATCAACCCTATTTGGCCCTAGATATCAACTCTATTTGGCCTTAGATATCAACCCTACTTGGCACTAGATATCAACCCTATTTGGCCCTAGATATAAACCCTATTTGGCCCTAGATATCAACCCTATTTGGCCCTAGATATAAACCCTATTTGGCCCTAGATATCAACTCTATTTGTCTCTAGATATCAACCCTATTTGACCCTAGATATCAACCCTATTTGGCCCTTGATATCAACCCTATTTGGCCCTAGATATCAACTCTATTTGGCCCTAGATATCAACCCTATTTGGCCCTTGATATCAACCCTATTTGGCCCTAGATATCAACTCTATTTGGCCCTAGATATCAACCCTATTTGGCCCTAGATATCAACCCTATTAGATATCAACCCTATTTGGCCTTAGATATCAACTCTATTTGGCCCTAGATATCAACCCTATTTGGCCCTAGATATCAACCCTATTTGGCCCTAGATATCAACTCTATTTGGCCTTAGATATCAACTCTATTTGGCCCTAGATATCAACCCTATTTGGCCCTAGATATCAACCCTATTTGGCACTAGATATAAACCCTATTTGGCCTTAGATATCAACCCTATTTGGCCTTAGATATCAACCCTATTTGGCTCTAGATATCAACCCTATTTGGCCTTAGATATCAACCCTATTTGGCACTAGATATAAACCCTATTTGGCCTTAGATATCAACCCTATTTGGCCTTAGATATCAACCCTATTTGGCACTAGATATCAACCTTATTTGGCACTACATATCAACCCTATTTGGCCTTAGATATCAACCCTATTTGGCACTAGATATCAACCCTAATTGGCTCTAGATATCAACCCTATTTGACCCTAGATATCAACCCTATTTGGCCTCATATCAACCCTATTTGGCCTTAGATATCTAGATATCAACCCTATTTGGCCTTAGATATCAACCCTATTTGGCTCTAGATATCAACCCTATTTGGCCCTAGATATCAACCCTATTTGGCCCTAGATATCAACCCTATTTGGCCCTAGATATAAACCCTATTTGGCACTAGATATCAATCCTATTTAGTCCTAGATATCAACCCTATTTAGCCCTAGATATCAACACTGTTTGGCCATAGATATCAACCCTATTTGGCACTAGATATCAACCCTATTTGGCACTAGATATCAACCCTATTTGGTCCTTGATATCAACCCTATTTGGCTCTAGATATCAACTCAATTTAGCTCTAGATATCAACCCTATTTGGCCTTAGATATCAACCCTACTTGGCACTAGATATCAACCCTATTTAGCCCTAGATATCAACCCTGTTTGGCCATAGATATCAACCCTAATTGGCACCAGATATCAACCCTATTTGGCACTAGATATCAACCCTATTTGGTCCTAGATATCAACCCTATTTGGCACTAGATATCAACCCAATTTAGCTGTAGATATCAACCCTATTTGGCCTTAGATATCAACCCTATTTGGCCCTAGATATCAACTCTATTTGGCCTTAGATATCAACACTACTTGGCACGAGATATCAACCCTATTTGGCCCTAGATTAAAACCTATTCGGCCCTAGATATCAACCCTATTTGGCCTTAGATATCAACCTTATTTGGCACTACATATCAACCCTATTTGGCCTTAGATATCAACCCTATTTGGCACTAGATATCAACCCTAATTGGCTCTAGATATCAACCCTATTTGACCCTAGATATCAACCCTATTTGGTCCTCGATATCAACCCTATTTGGCTCTAGATATCAACCCTATTTGGCCTTAGATATCAACTGTATTTGGCCCTAGATATCAACCGTATTTGGCCCTAGATATCAACCATATTTGCCCTAGATATCAACCCTATTTGGCCCTAGATATCAACTGTATTTGGCCCTAGATATCAACCGTATTTGGCCCTAGATATCAACCATATTTGCCCTAGATATCAACCCTATTTGGATCCTATATATCATTTCTATTGGGACAAAGACTTATATATATTTGGCAAGGGCTGCTTGTGATGATAATCTTCATCTCTCAAGCGTTTGATTTGATTTGATCCAAAATCAAAAGGAAACAGCTAAGAAACAAGGAACACCTACTTTCAGTCCAAAAATCAACATATCATGGTTTTCTTATCTGTAATTGTAACCCTGGTAAATACTAGCTACAATATACCACTCAGAGAGAATGTAATCCTGGTAAATACTAGCCACAATATACCACTAAGAGAGAATGTAACCCTGGTATATACCAGCCACAATATACCACTCAGAAAGAGAGAATGTAACCCTAGTAAATACTAGCCAAACTATACCACTCAGTTAGAGAGAATGTAACCCTGGTAAATACTAGCCACAATATACCACTCAGATGGAGAGATTGTAACCCTGGTAATTACTAGCCACAATATACCACTCAGAAAGAGAGAATGTAACCCTTGTAAATACTAGCCAAAATATACCACTCAGAGAGAATGTAACCCTGGTAAATACTAGCCACAATATACCACTCAGATAGAGAGATTGTAACCCTTGTAAATACTAGCCAAAATATACCACTCAGCTAGAGAGAATGTAACCCTGGTAAATACTAGCCACAATATACCACTATGCTAGAGAGATTGTAACCCTGGTAAATACTAGCCACAATATACCACTCAGAGAGAAGGTAACCCTGGTGAATACCAGCTACAATATACCACTCAGATAGAGAGAATGTAACCCTGGTAAATACTAGCCACAATATACCACTCAGAGATAATGTAACCCTGGTAAATACTAGCCACAATATACCACTCAGAGAGAATGTAACCCTGGTAAATACTAGCCACAATATACCACTCCGATAGAGAGAATGTAACCCTGGTAAATACTAGCTACAATATACCACTCAGAGAGAGAGAATGTAGAGAGAAATGTAACCCTGGTAAATACTAGCCACAATATACCACTCAGATAGAGAGAATGTAACCCTGGTAAATACTAGCCACAATATACCACTCAGACAGAATGTAACCCTGGTAAATATTAGCCACAATATACCACTCAGAGAGAATGTAACCCTGGTAAATACTAGCTACAATATACCACTCAGATAGAGTGAATGTAACCCTGGTAAATACTAGCTACAATATACCACTCTGCTAGAGAGAATGTAACCCTGGTAAATACTAGCCAAAATATACCACTCTGCTAGAGAGAATATAACCCAGGTAAATACTAGCCACAATATACCACTCAGAGAGAATGTAACCTTGGTAAATACTAGCCACAATATACCACTCAGATAGAGAGAATGTAACCCTGGTAAATACTATCTACAATATACCACTCATATAGAGAGAATGTAACCTTGGTAAATACTAGCCACAATATACCACTCAGCTAGAGAGAATGTAACCCTGGTAAATACTAGCCACAACATACCACTCAGATAGAGCGAATGTAACCCTGGTAAATACTAGCCACAATATACCACTCTGCTAGAGAGAATGTAACCCTGGTAAATACTAGCCACAATATACCACTCAGATAGAGAGAGTGTAACCCTGGTAAATACTAGCCACAATATACCACTCAGAGAGAAGGTAACCCTGGTAAATACTAGTCACAATATACCACTCAGATAGAGAGAGTGTAACCCTGGTAAATACTAGCCACAATATACCACTCAGAGAGAATGTAACCCTGGAAAATACTAGCTACAATATACCACTCAGAGCGAATGTAACCCTGGTAAATACTAGCCACAATATACCACTCAGACAGAAAGAGTGTAACCCTGGTAAATACTAGCCACAATATACCACTCAGAGAGAAGGTAACCCTGGTAAATACTAGCCACAATATACCACTCAGAGAGAATGTAACCCTGGTAAATACTAGCCACAATATACCACTCAGAGAGAATGTAACCCTGGTAAATACTAGCTACAATATACCACTCAGATAGAGAGAATGTAACCCTGGTAAATACTAGCTACAATATACCACTCAGAGAGAATGTAACCCTGGTAAATACTAGCCACAATATACCACTCCGATAGAGAGAATGTAACCCTGGTAAATACTAGCTACAATATACCACTCAGATAGAGAGAATGTAACCCTGGTAAATACTAGCCACAATATACCACTCAGAGAGAATGTAACTCTGGTAAATACTAGCCAAAATATACCACTCTGCTAGAGAGAATATAACCCTGGTAAATACTAGCCACAATATACCACTCAGAGAGAATGTAACCTTGGTAAATACTAGCCACAATATATCACTCAGATAGAGAGAATGTAACCCTGGTAAATACTAGCCACAACATACCACTCAGATAGAGTGAATGTAACCCTGGTAAATACTAGCCACAATATACCACTCTGCTAGAGAGAATGTAACCCTGGTAAATACTAGCCACAATATACCACTCTGCTAGAGAGAATGTAACCCTGGTAAATACTAGCCACAATATACCACTCATATAGAGAGAGTGTAACCCTGGTAAATACTAGCCACAATATACCACTCAGAGAGAATGTAACCCTGGTAAATATTAGCCACAATATACCACTCAGAGAGAATGTAACCCTGGTAAATATTAGCCACAATATACCACTCAGATAGAGAGAATGTAACCCTGGTAAATACTAGCTACAATATACCACTCAGATAGAGAGAATGTAACCTTGGTAAATACTAGCCACAATATACCACTCAGCTAGAGAGAATGTAACCCTGGTAAATACTAGCCACAACATACCACTCAGATAGAGCGAATGTAACCCTGGTAAATACTAGCCACAATATACCACTCAGATAGAGAGAGGGTAACCCTGGTAAATACTAGCCACAATATACCACTCAGAGAGAAGGTAACCCTGGTAAATACTAGCCACAATATACCACTCAGATAGAGAGAGTGTAACCCTGGTAGATACTAGCCACAATATACCACTCAGAGAGAATGTAACCCTGGTAAATACTAGCTACAATATACCACTCAGAGAGAAGGTAACCCTGGTAAATACTAGCCACAATATACCACTCAGAGGGAATGTAACCCTGGTAAATACTAGCGACAATATACCACTCAGACAGAGAGAGTGTAACCCTGGTAAATACTAGCCAAAATATACCACTCAGAGAGAATGTAACCCTGGTAAATACTAGCCACAATATACCACTCAGATAGAGAGAATGTAACCCTGGTAAATACTAGCTACAATATACCACTCAGCAAGAGAGAATGTAACCCTGGTAAATACTAGCCAAAATATACCACTCTGCTAGAGAGAATATAACCCTGGTAAATACTAGCCACAATATACCACTCAGAGAGAATGTAACCTTGGTAAATACTAGCCACAATATACCACTCAGATAGAGAGAATGTAACCCTGGTAAATACTATCTACAATATACCACTCAGATAGAGAGAATGTAACCTTGGTAAATACTAGCCACAATATACCACTCAGCTAGAGAAAATGTAACCCTGGTAAATACTAGTCACAATATACCACTCTGCTAGAGAGAATGTAACCCTGGTAAATACTAGCCACAACATACCACTCAGATAGAGCGAATGTAACCCTGGTAAATACTATCTACAATATACCACTCAGATAGAGAGAATGTAACCTTGGTAAATACTAGCCACAATATACCACTCAGCTAGAGAGAGTGTAACCCTGGTAAATACTAGCCACAATATACCACTCACTAGAGAATGTAACCCTGGTAAATACTAGCCACAATATACCACTCAGATAGAGAGAGTGTAACCCTGGTAAATACTAGCCACAATATACCACTCACAGAGAAGGTAACCCTGGTAAATACTAGCCACAACATACCACTCAGATAGAGCGAATGTAACCCTGGTAAATACTAGTCACAATATACCACTCAGATAGAGCGAATGTAACCCTGGTAAATACTAGTCACAATATACCACTCAGATAGAGAGAGTGTAACCCTGGTAAATACTATCCACAATATACCACTCAGAGAGAATGTAACCCTGGTAAATACTAGCTACAATATACCACTCAGAGAGAAGGCAACCCTGGTAAATACTAGCCACAATATACCACTCAGAGCGAATGTAACCCTGGTAAATACTAGCCACAATATACCACTCAGACAGAAAGAGTGTAACCCTGGTAAATACTAGCCACAATATACCACTCAGAGAGAATGTAACCCTGGTAAATACTAGCCACAATATACCACTCAGAGAGAATGTAACCCTGGTAAATACTAGCTACAATATACCACTCAGATAGAGAGAATGTAACCCTGGTAAATACTAGCCACAATATACCACTCGGATAAAGAGAATGTAACCCTGGTAAAAACTAGCAACAATATACCACTCAGAGAGAAGGTAACCCTGGTAAATACTAGCCACAATATACCACTCAGAGATAATGTAACCCTGGTAAATACTAGCCACAATATACCGCTATGCTAGAGAGATTGTAACCCTGGTAAATACTAGCCACAATATACCACTCAGAGATAATGTAACCCTGGTAAATACTAGCCACAATATACCACTCAGAGAGAAGGTAACCCTGGTAAATACTAGCCACAATATACCACTCAGAGAGAATGTAACCTTGGTAAATACTAGCTACAATATACCACTCAGATAGAGAGAATGTAACCCTGGTAAATACTAGCCACAATATACCACTCAGAGAGAAGGTAACCCTAGTAAATACTAGCCACAATATACCACTCCGATAGAGAGAATGTAACCCTGGTAAATACTAGCCACAATATACCACTCCGATAGAGAGAATGTAACCCTGGTAAATACTAGCCACAATATACCACTCCGATAGAGAGAATGTAACCCTGGTAAATACTAGCCACAATATACCACTCAGAGAGAATGTAACCCTGGTAAATATTAGCCACAATATACCACTCAGATAGAGAGAAGGTAACCCTGGTAAATACTAGCCACAATATACCACTCAGAGAGAAGGTAACCCTAGTAAATACTAGCTACAATATACCACTCAGATATAGAGAGTGTAACCCTGGTTAATACTAGCCACAATATACCACTCAGAGGGAATGTAACCCTGGTAAATACTAACCACAATATACCACTCAGAGAGAAGGTAACCCTGGTAAATACTAGCTACAATATACCACTCAGATATAGAGAGTGTAACCCTGGTTAATACTAGCCACAATATACCACTCAGAGAGAATGTAACCCTGGTAAATACTAGCCACAATATACCACTCAGATAGAGAGAATGTAACCCTGGTAAATACTAGCTACAATATACCACTCAGATAGAGAGAATGTAACCCTGGTAAATACTAACCACAATATACCACTCAGAGAGAATGTAACCCTGGTAAATACTAGCCACAATATACCACTCAGAGAGAATGTAACCCTGGTAAATATTAGCCACAATATACCACTCAGATAGAGAGAAGGTAACCCTGGTAAATACTAGCCACAATATACCACTCAGAGAGAAGGTAACCCTAGTAAATACTAGCTACAATATACCACTCAGATATAGAGAGTGTAACCCTGGTTAATACTAGTACAATATACCACTCAGAGGGAATGTAATACTAGCCACAATATACCACTCAGATAAAGAGAATGTAACCCTGGTAAATACTAGCTACAATATACCACTCAGAGAGAATGTAACCCTGGTAAATACTAGCCACAATATACCACTCAGAGATAATGTAACCCTGGTAAATACTAGCCACAATATACCACTCAGAGAGAATGTAACCCTGGTAAATACTAGCCACAATATACCACTCAGAGAGAAGGTAACCCTGGTAAATACTAGCTACAATATACCACTCAGAGAGAAGGTAACCCTGGTAAATACTAGCCACAATATACCACTCAGAGAGAATGTAACCCTGGTAAATACTAGCTACAATATACCACTCAGAGGGAATGTAACCCTGGTAAATACTAGCTACAATATACCACTCAGAGAGAATGTAACCCTGGTAAATACTAGCTACAATATACCACTCAGAGAGAATGTAACCCTGGTAAATACTAGCTACAATATACCACTCAGATAGAGAGAATGTAACCCTGGTAAATACTAGCCACAATATACGACTCGGATAAAGAGATCTTCTCTTTAGCCTGAATGCTTAAATATAAAATGAGTAAACCAGGGGTCCTGTTATATAACCATCCACAAGGTTTTCAAAATAAAATATAAATTGACACTGGTATACATACTGATAAAAGATTTAACTTACTCTCACAAATATAAAATTTTCTGAAACAGATTTGAGTTTGTTGCACATTTTATGAAACAGACCATACTTTGATGCATTTTCTGAAACAGAAGTTGCAGTCATTTTGACTTCATGTCTTACTTTCTGATTCCCACTCCTGGACTCTCATTGATGACCACAATCCCCTGTTGGTCAGCCATGTCCATAATTTCTTCGGCATATGGATAGTGTGAGGTTCGGAAACAGTTGGCCCCCAGCCACTTCAAAAGGTTAAAATCTTTTGCGATAAGGGCAAAATCCAATCCCTTTCCTCGTATCTGTAACAACAGTGAGGACATCGTAACAGCAACAGAAGTAAGAAAATGAAAGCGGATGCGGTGCTATTTTGAGTGACGACTCATAAGTGTACCAAATCAATGATTCCAAGCATAATTAAATAAAGACAAAATGAGTAGTGGCACACATAGATATACCCTGGATCATAGTGGTCAAGGGGTGACCATTGACTTTAACACTTGACTAATGACCACCAAATTCTAATCAGGTGTAGATGCTGGTAGTATAATGCAATGGTGCAAATATGGACCAAAAACTGTTCAGGAGTTAAGGAGATGTCTTGTACACAAGGTTATCACACACGCTTGAGTGCATGATAAAAATGTACACACTCATGTACAGACAAAGTGACAACTATATACAGTGCCTTATATAAAATGAGGATGTAATAATTTTTACATAACACTTTATAGAAGAGAGATACACTACACTGTAAACAGACTGCAAGTTAAAAACTAAAGGAAAGAAGCCCTGGGACAATGGATGGTAATGTACCCACCTCTGTACACATACAATGTACCCACCACTGTACACATAGAATGTACACACCACTGTACACATACAATGTACCCACCTCTGGACACATACAATGTACCCACTTCTGGACACATAGAATGTACCCACCTCTGGACACATAGAATGTACCCACCTCTGGACACATATAATGTACCCACCACTGTACACATACAATGTACCCACCACTGTACACATACAATGTACCCACCACTGTACACATACAATGTACCCACCACTGTACACATACAATGTACCCACCACTGTACACATACAATGTACCCACCACTGTACACATAGAATGTACCCACCTCTGGACACATACAATGTACCCACCTCTGGACACATAGAATGTACCCACCTCTGGACACATACAATGTACCCACCACTGGACACATAGAATGTACCCACCTCTGGACACATACAATGTACCCACCACTGTAAACATAGAATGTACCCACCACTGTACACATACAATGTACCCACCACTGGACACATAGAATGTACCCACCTCTGGACACATACAATGTACCCACCTCTGGACACATACAATGTACCCACCACTGTACACATACAATGTACCCACCTCTGGACACAAACAATGTACCCACCTCTGGACACAAACAATGTACCCACCTCTGGACACATAGAATGCACCCACCACTGTACACATACAATGTACCCACCACTGTACACATACAATGTACCCACCACTGGACACATAGAATGTACCCACCTCTGGACACATACAATGTACCCACCTCTGGACACATAGAATGTACCCACCTCTGGACACATACAATGTACCCACCTCTGGACACATACAATGTACCCACCTCTGGACACATACAAAGTACCCACCACTGGACACATAGAATGTACCCACCTCTGGACACATACAATGTACCCACCTCTGGACACATAGAATGTACCCACCTCTGGACACATACAATGTACCCACCTCTGGACACATACAATGTACCCACCTCTGGACACATAAAATGTACCCACCTCTGGACACATAAAATGTACCCACCTCTGGACACATAGAATGTACCCACCACTGTACACATACAATGTACCCACCACTGGACACATAGAATGTACCCACCTCTGGACACATACAATGTACCCACCACTGTACACATAGAATGTACCCACCACTGGACACATAGAATGTACCCACCACTGTACATATACAATGTACCCACCACTGTACACATAGAATGTACCCACCACTGTACACATACAATGTACCCACCACTGGACACATAGAATGTACCCACCTCTGGACACATACAATGTACCCACCACTGTACACATACAATGTACCCACCACTGGACACATAGGATGTACCCACCTCTGGACACATACAATGTACCCACCTCTGAACACATACAATGTACCCACCACTGGACACATACAATGTACCCACCGCTGTACACATACAATGTACCCACCGCTGTACACATACAATGTACCCACCTCTGAACACATAAAATGTACCCACCACTGGACACATAAAATGTACCCACCACTGTACACATAGAATGTACCCACCTCTGGACACATACAATGTACCCACCTCTGAACACATAAAATGTACCCACCACTGTACACATAGAATGTACCCACCTCTGGACACATACAATGTACCCACCTCTGAACACATAAAATGTACCCACCTCTGGACACATACAATGTACCCACCTCTGGACACATACAATGTACCCACCTCTGAACACATAAAATGTACCCACCACTGTACACATAGAATGCACAATATATATCATGTGATAAAAAACTGATGAATGCTCCCTGAAAGCAACTTTATCTGACACAAAATTTTAACAAAGGGCAGTAACTCTGTAATTAAGGGGTTGCGGCCTGGCCCTGAATTTGGAACACTGCACATTGTCTTAGAATAATCAATGCATACACCCAGTTTCATTATCCAAGTTTAAATGCAAGCAAAGTAATGCTGCAGACACAAAATTTTAACAAAGGGCAGTAACTCTGTAATTGAGGGGTTAAGGGCCCTGAATTTGGTACACTGCACATCCCCCTAGTTTTTTCATCAAATTTCATGATCCTCACCTAAATGTGGGCAAAGTTATGCCTTGTATGTGAAATGACTGATGGATGGACAATTATATGCTCCCTGAACATTTTTCAGATAGCATCAAAGCTCTTTTTCTGGATACATGTATCACTGACACTTTAAGCAATGTAAGATTTCCTTGCCTCACCCCTTTCATAACTCTGAACAACATCAACGATACAAAGCTTTCTAATAATAACACATACCATATATAAGAATACCAGAAGGGCAAGAGAAAAGTAATTGTTCACTTCTATGTTGGTGAGATAGGAGGAGATACAATTTTCTTTGCTGGGTCAATTACCCTGTCAACTGTTTGGGTTATTTTCACATACAATCTGGAGCAATCAGGGTAAAATGCCTCCGACAATTTATCAGCCCACCCAGATCTATTACAGGTTTAGTAGAAGTATCAACATAACTATATCCTTGTCCAGTAATAAGCCCACCCAGATCTATTACAGGTTTAGTAGAAGTATCAACATAACTATATCCTTGTCCAGTAATAAGCCCACCCAGATCTATTACAGGTTTAGTAGAAGTATCAACATAACTATATCCTTGTCCAGTAATAAGCCCACCCAGATCTATTACAGGTTTAGTAGAAGTATCAACATAACTATATCCTTGTCCAGTAATAAGCCCATCCAGATCTATTACAGGTTTAGTAGAAGTTTAAAAATTCAGTATTGTTCTGAAAATGCCCCACCCCTACCCACCACCCTCTTATCTGAGGTGCTGAAGTAGACTTCCTTGTTAGATATTTAACATGTCACCACACCACCTTCATGAATGTTGTAACAAATTATATGTTCTGTAAGAATCACCTATGTTACCCACATCTGAATCCTCATGTTTCGCTACACCATGACAATAAAATGGCCGATCGTTGATAAGCAACTGGGTATCTGTGATTTTGACCTCTCTGATACCAAACCGTTGGCGATAAACATCAGATATTCCACTGGTCATTATGGTCAAGTTCATCTGTAACAAAAGCAGCAAAACTTAAGGCAAGTTATAATTTTTATCAAATATCTAGGTCAGATTCTGAATTCTCTCTTAAATATCTAGGTCAGGTTCTGAATTCTCTCTTAAATATCTAGGTCAGATTCTGAATTCTCTCTTAAATATCTAGGTCACATTTCTGAATTTTACCTCAAATATCTTGGTCAGGTGTTCATTTTATCTTAAAGTATTGGTAAGGTTCCAGTTTATATCACAAACATCTTGATTAATCTTTACCCTCATCTTCATGTGTAATATCGAGTTAAAATTAAAAAATCAAGGTCAAATTTTGAAAACAATTCAAAGCATTCAGCATAAGTTCCTCTGAATTCTAAGTATTGTACCAATGATGTGTAAACTTGTGTAGTCTAAATATCCAGGCCATTACAATGCACTTATACCCAAGATAGATTCATTACTTATATACGGAGACAGATAAATCTTTATGTAAGATATTGAAATCTGTTTAAATAAGACAAATATTTTTCTAAAACTAAGACAAATAAATGTTTAACTAAGATATTAAAATCTTAACTAAGACAGATATTATTTTTTGGAAATAAGATAGTGAAATTAAATTAAAGGTCTTAATACAATGACACTTTTTATAAAATTTTTCATGTTTGTAAATTGTTGCAATATTTGTGGATATTTGCCAAGCTTGACCTTGAATGTGTAGAGATATCCAGGGGATGTGCTGTTCATCGTGTACGGCCACCAGAAGTGTCCATTGTTCACTGTAATAGTGTCCTGAAACTGATTACTGTGACCCACCACCCGCCCCTCACGGTCAATGATTTCTACAGCTAGCTGGACATGTCCAGGCTGACCACTAGTGACCACTGTATATTTCACCAAACCTGTCGAACCAGAATAGTAAATTTTATGTGAAGGATTGTACAAAAGACACATAAATACATTAAAACAGTGAAAAACATTTGATATCATATTCAAGTTAAAAGTAGAAAATGTGATATTAACCAGAACATGCCATTAACAGTAGATGTGTCTGATGCCAAATTTGCTTCATTTTCTTTTCTTTGTTTTTTCTTTTTTTCTTCTTTTTTCTTTTCTTTTTTTAATTTTTTCACTTTTTTTAATCTGCTCATTTATCAAGAACATGTGACGTTAACCATATGTGACATTCGCTAGATTTTAGTGAACATATGTAATATACAGAGGATTTTCCATCAGTTTCTATTAATACACTCAATTAATAAATCTTGTACAAACATAAAATATTTGGGAACAAGAGACTCTAGGGGATCTTGGCGTCCACCATTGTTTGATCTTTATATCCTCTTTGAAAGTTGGATCTTTTCCGTTCTTTTCTCTGTTTTTGGTTTTAATGGTAAGACATTTGAATATTCCTTTGCAGAAATAGTAATGATAATCTTTAACTGCCAAGTCCAAAATGGCTGCCTGAAAGCCATTTGGTTTCTTCTGATTAATCCCAAAATTAAATGAGCACAAGTAGACACCAATGGGAACAAATATATAAAATTTGATAGATATCCATTCAGTATTTCTTAAGAAATAGCAATAACAATCTTTACTAGGCAAAATCCAAGATGGCTGCCTGTCAGCCATTTTGTTTTTTTGGTCAGTCCCAAACTCAAACAAGCACAAATTGGGACCAAAAGGAACCTATACAAGAACTTTGAGAAAGATCTATTGATAGTTCTCAAAAAATACTGATAACAAACTTTTAAAGTCAAAATCCCAGATGGCAGCTTTAAGACCATTTTTGGTTTTTTATCAGTACCACAATCAAACAGGCACAACTTCATTGAAAAAAGCCTTAGCGGTAGTTTAGAATAGTCTGTTGCATCTTAGGATCGATAAGTCATTGAGTTTAATTCTAGAATGACTGCCATGCTTTTCTATGATAAGAATGACTTCGAGCAACTTACAAGAAATAATATGGGACTATAAGAATTTTGTCAGCATGTAAGGTCCTTTGTTAATATCTAACAGCACAGACACCGATGGAGATATTGTTAAGTAAACTGTACGTAACATCAGGCTTTATATCTGTACGTAGACAATCTTTGAAGGCTCCCAAGCCTAACAAGTTCAATAATTACTATTTTACGTTTTTGAAACATGTCAATGAAATAAAGGATTATCTGTGTTTAATTCGTTCAAACCTTATTTTAAATGTTTCACTGATGATCTTAATAAATTGCCTTCCTTTGTCAGCTGTATCAACAAACTTTGGTCAACTTAACAGTTACCACACATCGTAAAAATGGGTGCAGCTTATATCCCGGTGTGTCTGATATGTGGATCAAATAAAAAAAATCGCTAAAAACCAGCCCTGCAGCTTATACTCGAGTGTGGTTTATAGTCCAGAAAATATGGTAACCCTCTAGTGGTGGACCAGACCCTAGAGCCAATTATTACATCATGATTCTGTAATCTCTTTACACACATCAATACTAAACATGGTTATGAGATGGTGATTTATACAAAATTTCCCTTTCAGGGCCCCACCCCTCAGGCCCTGGGCACCAAGGACACACAATTTATAAAAAATATGTTCACTAAGATTCAGAAACAAAATCACTAGTGACATAAACAACAAATAGCTCAAATGGTTCTACCCAATCAGAGGCCAAGCCATCTTCAATTTATTAAGGTCGCAGCCAATCAGAGGCCAAGCCATCTTAAATTTATTAAGGTCGCAGCCAATCAGAGGCCAAGCCATCTTAAATTTATTAAGGTCGAAGCCAATCAGAGGCCAAGCCATCTTAAATTTATTAAGGTCGCAGCCAATCAGAGGCCAAGCCATCTTAAATTTATTAAGGTCGCAGCCAATCAGAGGCCAAGCCATCTTAAATTTATTAAGGTCGCAGCCAATCAGAGGCCAAGCCATCTTAAATTTATTAAGGTCGCAGTGAATACCACATATAAAAGTTGTAAATTACCTCGAATGACTAACAATGAACATAAGGAATACCGTTTGATCTGTACACTTTTCTATCTCTGGGTTATTTCTAAATCTAACACATTAATTGTCAATTTGGGCCGAAGTTTTACATTAGTTTCGATGATTGGCCCATTAGTAAAAAGTGTATAGTTGTTGTTACCATTTCCACCCTGCAAATTGGTAGCTATAATCACATCTTCAATATAAGTCTTGGGTGTGGTATAAATTTGAATATGGCGGTGAAGTCCTGCATAGTTAAAGAAATCCATCTGTAAATTCTGGACAAAATAGCCAGTAGGATATCTGGAAAAGTAAAAATTTTGGTATAGTTATCTCCCAGATCAGTCAACGGCTGCGAGTTAAACAACTTGGCATAAAGAACACACTGACAAATGAAACTACCAAGACACAGAATTCTGCACCAGGCAAGGAAAGCTGTGCTAAACATTATGCAAGGATGTAATCATCTAATTTTTGACCTGAAACCTGTAATCTATTCAATCATTGTAGACTTTTGTTTTAAATACTTGGTTATCTATAGTTGTACTAAGCTAAAAAAGGCACTTTACTTGACGTTTGAAGAAAATTCACTCGTAGACTACTTTTCTGACGGCAAAGTTGATGGCATGATTGGGTAATAACGTGGGCTATTTCCAGAATTTTTTCCTTTGCTGTAAGGTACTTCTCTCAAGTATATCTCAATCATCACCAAAAATCATAATTTGGAATTTCATCTTGGTAGATCACATTTTTAGAACCAGAAAAAAAATATTTCAGCTTGTTTCTTGTTTTTAGAAAAACTAGCTATTCAGGAGTACATCGCACAGGTCCCACCCCTAACCCCACCCCCACCCCATCCTTGATCATCAAAAGAACTTGAAAAGTTCTCTATCTAAGAATAAAAATCTTGGAAAATGTTAAATAACTGAAGATGGTAATATAGAGGAGTTTAGTCCTGTGCATGGAATTTAGACTAAAAAATGATGAATTTAAAAATATATAACAATCAATAGTGAAAAGTTTAGAGCTAAATCTGTTTGTCCTAAATAGCCCTTTTGTGTATGTGTGAGTGAAAGAGGTTCATACCTGTTAATATCATGTTGGTACTGGATAGTCCTGTGTCTGAGGGATCTGTACCTGTTAATATCATGTTGGTACTAGTTAGTCCTGTGTTTGACGGGGAGGGACCCATACCTGTTAATACCATGCTGGTACTAGATAGTCCTGTGTCTGAGGGATCTGTACCTGTTAATATCATGTTGGTACTGGATAGTCCTGTGTCTGAGGGATCTGTACCTGTTAATATCATGTTGGTACTAGTTAGTCCTGTGTCTGAGGGATCTGTACCTGTTAATATCATGTTGGTACTAGTTAGTCCTGTGTTTGACGGGGAGGGACCCATACCTGTTAATAGCATGCTGGTACTGGATAGTCCTGTGTCTGAGGGATCTGTACCTGTTAATATCATGTTGGTACTGGATAGTCCTGTGTCTGAGGGATCTGTACCTGTTAATATCATGTTGGTACTAGTTAGTCCTGTGTCTGAGGGATCTGTACCTGTTAATATCATGTTGGTACTGGATAGTCCTGTGTCTGAGGGATCTGTACCTGTTAATATCATGTTGGTACTGGATAGTCCTGTGTCTGAGGGATCTGTACCTGTTAATATCATGTTGGTACTAGTTAGTCCTGTGTTTGACGGGGAGGGACCCATACCTGTTAATACCATGCTGGTACTGGATAGTCCTGTGTCTGAGGGATCTGTACCTGTTAATACCATGCTGGTACTGAATAGTCCTGTGTCTGAGGGATCTGTACCTGTTAATATCATGTTGGTACTAGTTAGTCCTGTGTCTGAGGGATCTGTACCTGTTAATATCATGTTGGTACTAGTTAGTCCTGTGTTTGATGGGGAGGGACCCATACCTGTTAATATCATGTTGGTACTGGATAGTCATGTGTTTGAGGGAGATGGATCTGTACTTGTTAATATCATGTTGGTACTAGTTAGTCCTGTGTTTGACGGGGAGAGACCCATACCTTTTAATATCATGTTGGTACTGGATAGTCCTGTGTTTGAGGGAGATGGATCTGTACTTGTTAATATCATATTGGTAATAGATAGTCCTGTGTTTGACTGGGAGGGACCAATACCTGTTAATATCATGTTGTTACTGGATAGTCCTGTGTTTGAGGGAGATGGATCTGTACTTGTTAATATCATATTGGTAATAGATAGTCCTGTGTTTGACGGGGAGGGACCATTACCTGTTAATATCATGTTGGTACTAGTTAGCCCTGTGTCTGAGGGATCTGTACCTGTTAATACCATGCTGGTACTGGATAGTCTTGTGTCTGAGGGATCTGTACCTGTTAATATCATGTTGGTACTAGTTAGTCCTGTATCTGAGGGATCTGTACCTGTTAATACCATGCTGGTACTGGATAGTCCTGTGTCTGAGGGATCTTTACCTGTTAATATCATGTTGGTACTGGATAGTCCTGTGTCTGAGGGATCTGTACCTGTTAATATCATGTTGGTACTAGTTAGTCCTGTGTCTGAGGGATCTGTACCTGTTAATACCATGCTGGTACTGGATAGTCCTGTGTCTGAGGGATCTGTACCTGTTAATATCATGTTGGTACTAGTTAGTCCTGTGTCTGAGGGATCTGTACCTGTTAATATCATGTTGGTACTAGTTAGTCCTGTGTCTGAGGGATCTGTACCTGTTAATACCATGCTGGTACTGGATAGTCCTGTGTCTGAGGGATCTGTACCTGTTAATATCATGTTGGTACTAGTTAGTCCTGTGTCTGAGGGATCTGTACCTGTTAATACCATGCTGGTACTGGATAGTCCTGTGTCTGAGGGATCTGTACCTGTTAATATCATGTTGGTACTAGTTAGTCCTGTGTCTGAGGGATCTGTACCTGTTAATATCATGTTGGTACTAGTTAGTCCTGTGCCTGAGGGATCTGTACCTGTTAATACCATGCTGGTACTGGATAGTCCTGTGTCTGAGGGATCTGTACCTGTTAATATCATGTTGGTACTAGTTAGTCCTGTCTGAGGGAGATGGATCTGTACCTGTTAATACCATGCTGGTACTGGATAGTTCTGTGTCTGAGGGATCTGTACCTGTTAATATCATGTTGGTACTAGTTAGTCCTGTGTCTGAGGGATCTGTACCTGTTAATACCATGCTGGTACTGGATAGTCCTGTGTCTGAGGGATCTGTACCTGTTAATATCATGTTGGTACTAGTTAGTCCTGTCTGAGGGAGATGGATCTGTACCTGTTAATATCATGTTGGTACTAGTTAGTCCTGTGTTTGACGGGGAGGGATCCATACCTGTTAATATCATGTTGGTACTGGATAATCCTGTGTTTGAGGGAGATGGATCTGTACTTGTTAATATCATGTTGGTATATGATATTCCTGTGTTTAAGGGGAAGGGACCAATACCTGTTCATATCATGTTGTTACTGGATAGTCCTGTGTTTGAGGGGGAGGGATTAGTACCTGTTGATATTATGTTGGTACTGGATTGTTCCAGGTGGAAGGGTAGTTGGTGTCAATGTGTTGTTGATGGCTATTGTCACTCTGTTGCTGCCTCCAAACATGATTGGTATGTCCCAGTGAGTTATTTCCCCTTCAAATGGCAAGTGACCTCCTTCATGTTGAACCAGCTGTACTGAATTGACCCACTGCAATGTAGACCAAATACTCAGGTTCAGAAGTTTTGGTTATATCTTTAATATATCAAATATTCTATGGGATAATTTTACCACAAGCTCAAACATCCATTGGGATCATTTAACTGAAATTTCAAAACGATGATGGACAGAAGGACTAACAGATAATTGATGGAGGGCAATTTGAACATCCCACCATCATCAGATGTATGACCAAAAATACTAAAACTGGATTTCTTCTTTAAATTACATGTACTTAGAATGAGAGTGTGTAAAAGACTGGAAATATTGATGTACAAGTGTTCACCGACATACAGCGTTTTCTTTTTTTTATATACAGAGAATATACCCGATAAGTTAACATTACCACAACAGCATTGTAGTGGGCACTATCAACACGTAGCACAACACGTTTAGATGTCCAGTCCTGGGGTAGGAAGAACTCACGCTCATACCATGCCCAGCCTACAAAGTCACGGATCTTCTTCTCTTGTGTGATGTCATTGTAGCTTGCGGGAACTGGCATTGGAATTACCTCCCCTTTCTGGTAAAGAGAATACAGAGTACAGAAACAATATCTTGTTTCACTTAACAATTTCAACAAATAATACAACATGATTGCAAAATTTTTTTGTTTCCATAATTTTGTTGTCTGTATGACTAGACATAAAGTATATAGTATATATATGTAACAGAACAAGGACAAATATCATGCCTCAAGACCTCTAAGTTAATGAGAACTCATTTAAAGATTTGAACAGGTCATGGCAAAGGCCAGATGAGCTAAAAAACCACATTTCTGCCGAGTAACCAGCAGACATCAAACTAAGGTGTCCAATTCTACCTATAGCCACTAGGTCAAATGACCCATCAGCTGAGTGACAGAGACCGTATTCATTACGATGTACAAGCCACAATGACACATCAGCTGAGTGACAGAGACCGTATTCATTACGAGGTACAAGCCACAATGACCCATCAGCTAGGAAACAAAGGCCTTATTTAACACTAAATAAATGCCTTTACTGAACTGTCAATTGAGTTTTGACGGAGATTGATTTAAGACTTTGTACAAGACATATCGACCATCAGCCGAGTGACAGAGAATGCATCTAACATTATATACATGCTACACTGACCTGTCACCCGAGTGACAGAAACTGTATTTAACACTATATACAAGCCACACTGACCCACTAGCCGAATGACAGAGAATGTATTTACCATTAGCTGTAACAAATTTCATTTAAAACATGTTGATGAAAATTTTGTATTAAAAAAATTATTTAAATTAAACACATCCAAGAGTACAGGACTGGATGGATTACCAGCTAGGTTTCTTAAAGATGCTGCCTCAATCATTAAAATCCATCTCACCTTTCTGATCAACATGTCTATTTCGTTGGGTGTTGTTCCTGATGAATTAAAAATAGCTAAGGTTAAACCACTTTATAAGAAGAAAGATAGACTAAATGCTGAAAACTATCGTCCTGTTAGTATTCTAAGTATTGTATCTAAAATTCTAGAATGTGCTGTTTATAGCCAGTTAGAGACATTCCTAGTCAGAAATAACTTACTGTATGAATTCCAGTCAGGATTCAGAAGCAAATACTCAACAGATACGTGTTTAATACATCTGATTGATCATATTAAGTCTCAGAATGCTAAAGGTCTTTTTACAGGTATGGTTTTACTTGATTTGCAGAAAGCATTTGATACGGTAGACCATAAAATTTTATGTGACAAACTCTCTGTTCTTGGTGTAAAATCGCTAGACTGGCTTCAGTCTTATCTCACTGGAAGGAAACAAATTGTGAATATAAACGGAACAGTTTCAGAGTCTTGTAACCTAGGTTGCGATGTACCCCAAGGCAGTTTGCTAGGGCCTTTACTATTTCTGATATATGTAAATGACATGCAAGTGTGTATTAATCCAAGCTGCAAGATAATATTGTACGCTGACGACTCTGCAATATTATTCTCCCACAGAGACCCAGCAGTTATTTCTCAAACTTTGTCTTTGATGTTGAATTCCTGTCAAGATTGGTTAGTTGATAACAAACTTTCATTGCATTTAGGTAAAACAGAAAGCATTCTATTTGGTCCAAAAAGGAAATTAGACTCTGAAATTGTGTGTAATATTATTCTCCCACAGAGACCCAGCAGTTATTTCTCAAACTTTGTCTTTGATGTTGAATTCCTGTCAAGATTGGTTAGTTGATAACACACTTTCATTGCATTTAGGTAAAACAGAAAGCATTCTATTTGGTCCAAAAAGGAAATTAGACCCAGTGGCAAAAAATTCAGATTTTAAAATTGTGTGTAATAATCATGTAATTGAAGTCAAAAGATGTGTGAAATATCTTGGCATAGACATCAACGATTCATTATTGGGTGAAGAAATTGTAGATTCAATTGTCAAAAAGGTCAACCAACGTCTCAAATTTTTGTATAGAAATGAACAGTGTTTATCTTTTAGGTCAAGAAAAACTCTATGTTCTTCTTTGATTTTATGTAACTTTGACTACGCATGTACTAGTTGGTACGAAGGTTTATCGAAAAAACTTAAAAAGAATTTACAAGTAGCACAAAACAAAGTAATTAGATTTATTTTGAATGTTCACAATAGGTACAGTCTGACACATAATGATTTTCTTCAGGTAAACATGCTTGATGTTGTTTCAAGAGTAAGTCAGCTCAGAATGAATCGTATGTTTAATATTTTCCATGAAAAAGCTCCGAATTATATGTATGCATCTTTTGAAAAAAATCCACGTCTGCAAAATACTTGTTCATCAACATATAATTTTACTCTGCCAATGATTCATGGAGCTGAATATACATCCTTTTGTTTTGTCGGAGCTAAAGAATGGAATCTACTTCCAGAAAATACAAAAACAATATCCAAAAAAGTTAGATTCAAATCTCAAGTAAATCGTCACTTTCAAGACAAAATGAAAGAGAAACATAACAGTGATTATGTTTACTATTGAGACAGATAATTTTTTTTTTATATACATTTTGAAGGACCCCAACGGAAATAAGCGTATATTATTACGCTTTTTGGGCTATCCTTGGATAGATTTGTTTAACATATATATCAGCTGTCTTTATTGTGATTTAATGTTCCGGTGTTGCATGTTTTATTTATGTCAATTTTTCACCTTATGTACTATGTAACATGTATTTTATTTATCATGCTTTGTATACATTTGTGCAAATCTTTCCTGAATAAATTTACTATTATTATTATTATTATTATATAACACTATATACAAGCCACACTGACCCATCAGCTGAGTGACAGAGACCATATCTAACATACACAAGCCACACTGACCCATCAGCTGAGTGACAGAGACCATATCTAACATACACAAGCCACACTGACCCATCAGCCGAGTGACAGAGAGTGTATTTAACACTATATACATGCTACACTGACCTGTCACCCGAGTGACAGAGACTATATCTAACATTATATACAGGCCACACTGACCTGTCAGCCGAGTGACAGAGAATGTATTGGCATCCAATTTAAAGAAAGGCCCATAACTGTGCAATAAAGAGTTTGTGAACCCTGACTTTCATGCACTTCACATTGTGTTGACATGACCAATGAATACACATACACAAAGTTTCCTTCTTATAGTTTATTAAATGAAATAATTTTTTAATAAATGGCCACAACACTGTGACTGAAGGGTGTTGGGTCCCGACTTTAATACACTGCACATCATCTTAGTATGACCAATGTATACACCAAGTTTCATGATTCTTGCTTATATTAACTGTGGGCAAATTTAAGCGCTAGACATGAAAGGACGGACTGCCAGACAAAGTGCCAACTATATGCTCCCTTGAAAACTTTCGGGAAGATTAAAAGCTGTTGGGAACAACTTGAGGAGAAGTCCCAAGACAAAAATAAAAACACGGATAGCTCGAATCTGAACCCTTCGATTTCTGACCAACGAAAGTGATGCGAAAATTAGTAAATTATATGTATATCGGATTTTAGAAAACTGTGTTTTATAAAGAGAACACAAAGTTGTACGATACAAAGAAATCTCGAAAATCGAGAGGCTCCTGAGTTTCTAAGTTTCTTCAAGTTATGCCTACGTGTCTGAGGGGAGCTGAATACCACTTTTCCTTGAAACCCTGGTTTCTGTTCGGAGAGTCATCCACACGGAAATCCCACATACCGTCCAGGAGTTTGACAGTTCGGCTCTCGGAGTCCTTCGGATACAGCATTCCGAACGGATCGAGACATGTGCATGTGTAAATATAACTGACAAGTATCAGGGAACTAACTAACAAGTCGTAGATCATTTCCGATGAAATTTCACATATGCACATTTACGCGGCCATTTTGAAAGATCACATGACTTTCCCCGGAGCATCTCGGGATTCTTTAAAAGTGTCTTCTACTGTGAAAAAAAAATGTACGGAAGCCTTGTAGTACAAAGAATACGTACAGTACAGTAGTTACCGTGTTGTTCGGTGTACCAGACCAACTACAACATCAACTAACATTTTATTTCAAAATGTGATCCCAATCCCATTTTCATTGTTCATGTATGAATGAACAAACTACCTAACTATGTTTACGTGGAAAGACAAAAATATTACCGAAGGCACATCCCCCCCCCTCTCTCTCTTTTTAAATAATGTTTGCTTGCTTTTGACTCTGTCTTTTCTAGTACCGAGTATGGGAATGCATTTGGTTATGTCATTTAAACACTTGTATAGCCCTTTAGACTTTTGGAGGCGTTCCCTTGTGTGTAAGTTGTCAGATCGTGTAACAATATAACGCAGATGAACACTTATAGGGTACGTCGCTCCAGTGTTTTTTAGCCGCGATTTGAAGGAGTTTAGGCAGTTTGCAGAAATCACTACTTCCGACAGACTGTACAACTCTGTTATTAAATACGTTTTTGTGGTAGTTAACCTATACCGTGGTTTCATCATGTTTCTTGGAATGTTCTCTAACAGAGTTAACGGGAGCCCTAGTGAACAATTTCTTTTGCTCCACAACATCGACACTGTTCCTAATTTTGTAGACTTGAACAATGGCCACCCGTTTTTCCCCCTATATTGCAGACTTGGTAAGCCAAGTGACTGGGGCCGTTGTTCATACTGGCTAAGCCGCACACTCTCTCGGTAGCTCTCCTCTGGACGTTTTCAGTCATAACTTTATCTTTGTTAAGTATTGGGCTTCAGACACACGTTGTACATTGTGTAAGTGTATGTGTGTCGCTTACTATGTTTGTATTATGAGATGTTTATACTGAATATGAAATTGAGAAAGTTGCAGTCCTTCCTGTACAACTTCATATGCCGGGGAAAAAACAAACAAACAAAACAAAAACAAACAATTAAAAGAAAGTTGGGCAAATATTTGTCAAAACAATGCAGTAATTACATTCAGGTTAAACATGGGATGTATACTTCGGGTCTCAACTTCAGATGTTTGAAAGTACATGATGTTTTCCGTTTGTTTGTTTCTCCTTTCCTTTTTTCTGGTGTCCACTTTCGATTTTCCATTCATTGTGTCTTGTGTGATGGCACTGGATAACCTAGTGAGTATGGTCTGGATCCAAACAAACAAATGGTCGTTGCACGCATGTTACTGGAATAGATACATGATCAATGAAGTAAAAAGGACAGTACGGACAAGTGAGGCAACCTGCCTCTTTATCAAGACACAAATATTACATCAATTACATCACATCCATAGAACATAAAACAAATACAAAGTTATAAATCTAAATCGAGAGCGGAGGTGTTAATTTAGGTGTCTCGATAATCCCTTCGGGCGATGGACTCCGCGGGCGATTTATAAGGGATCAAATGCCAAGTAAGACGGAAGTATATTCTACCAGAAATCAGCAAATTAATACTAAATGGACAGAAACATGGAAAATTGGAAAGATTTAACAACCTAAATCAAATTATAGATAAATCAAATGTCAAACCAAAAGCTTTAGGACAAATAAATTAGGAACCAAAGAATTAAAAAGAAAACAGACTGCTCGTCGAATTCCCAAGAAAAATTGACAACTTAGACAAATATAAACGGTAAACAGAATGGTCGAAGGGAGACAACTCCCAAACATCAGAAACCTACACGATATCGCACACAGCAGGTGGGATACCCAGGGAGACTGTGTCAAAGAGGATTACAACTGCCCGTCTCAGTCAATAGTGCATACTGACACCTCATGAGGTATGTGGTGTCCTTCTATGGGCCCCATCCCCTGCATTCACATTTGTGAAATTACACGAAACAATACAAATAAATTAAGCAACACACACAAGTAAACACGCCCCTTCAAGTATTTATTAAAACAAACGAATAAATAGGAAGGAAAATACACATTTAAGCCAGTATTGATCGAACATAAAGGGAACCTCCGTGTACAATGGTCATGGACTGGTTTACAGTCAGATTCGTGTCTTGTTCCCTTGCTTGTAGCATATGGAACCCTGTTAGGTAGGGCAATGGGATAAACAGTTCTCGATAACTAATGTACAGAACTGTATATCTAACACTGGCTATTGGGTCTAAAACTCGAAATCTAAAATCTCACACAATTTAACACAACACAAACATACAAACCAAATAAACACTTTACAAGACCTCCCAACTTCCACCACCTCACCACCTCACCCAACCATCCAACACATGCATGCACAAAGTATCTCTCTGTCTCCGAAATCTTAAATCTCTCTTAGATAATCTCATCCTAACACAACACTTTCTACTTCAAGGTAACTTCTCAAGTCAAAACCTCCCATATCCCTTCTAAATCAGCACATTCACATAAACCACATATATAACTATAAAAGTCGGTATCGTGAACAGAAGTATGCAGAAGGAATGGAGTGGAATCACAGAAAGCAATAGACATTGGTGAAGTGATAACGTAGCGTAGGCCATATGATTGGAAAGGTTTTCAAGTCGGGACAACAAAAAACAACTGTTAATATAATGTTAATTATAATGTCCACCCTCGCCCGCTAAAGATCCACCGAGACTGTTCGTTAACAGAGTAGCCGTGATAATGCCGGTCCAGGGGTCTAGTGAGACTGTTCGTTAACAGAGTAGCCGTGATAATGCCGGTCCAGGGGTCTAGTGAGACTGTTCGTTAACAGAGTAGCCGTGATAATGCCGGTCCAGGGGTCTAGTGAGACTGTTCGTTAACAGAGTAGCCGTGATAATGCCGGTCCAGGGGTCTAGTGAGACTGTTCGTTAACAGAGTAGCCGTGATAATGCCGGTCCAGGGGTCTAGTGAGACTGTTCGTTAACAGAGTAGCCGTGATAATGCCGGTCCAGGGGTCTAGTGAGACTGTTCGTTAACAGAGTAGCCGTGATAATGCCGGTCCAGGGGTCTAGTGAGACTGTTCGTTAACAGAGTAGCCGTGATAATGCCGGTCCAGGGGTCTAGTGAGACTGTTCGTTAAAAGAGTAGCCGTGATAATGCCGGTCCAGGGGTCTAGTGAGACTGTTCGTTAACAGAGTAGCCGTGATAATGCCGGTCCAGGGGTCTAGTGAGACTGTTCGTTAACAGAGTAGCCGTGATAATGCCGGTCCAGGGGTCTAGTGAGACTGTTCGTTAACAGAGTAGCCGTGATAATGCCGGTCCAGGGGTCTAGTGAGACTGTTCGTTAACAGAGTAGCCGTGATAATGCCGGTCCAGGGGTCTAGTGAGACTGTTCGTTAACAGAGTAGCCGTGATAATGCCGGTCCAGGGGTCTAGTGAGACTGTTCGTTAACAGAGTAGCCGTGATAATGCCGGTCCAGGGGTCTAGTGAGACTGTTCGTTAACAGAGTAGCCGTGATAATGCCGGTCCAGGGGTCTAGGAATAGCATCAGACAATACAATTATTGAAGATGTCAGACGGACTTCAATATTACCCTAATACAGACCAAACATAGATAGGCCACCAACTCTCCCTCTCAGCTCCTGGACATGTTCTTACTGCTAGAGTTAGGTTAAGGCAATATTAGACCCCGAAACCGTCTTCTAAGACTAGTATAATCAAATGATCACAGATACAGACGGTTCCATCTCAATGCGGGAGATGCAGGTCGCCCCCTCACGTCGCCAGAACACTGACGTTCGTCGGTGAGACGGTACCCGAACACGGGAGGTGTCAAGGAGAAGGAAAACCTGTTAACCAACCACCAACCAACCACACTAAGTGGTTACAGTGCAACACGTACCGAGATTGATATAAAACATTTTTGATATACTAATCACCATCTTCCATACAACCACTGGCGTAGGCAAGGGGGGCAAGGGGGCAAGGGGGCAAGAGGGGAGCGACTTCGGCGCTCGCGACGCACGGCTTCGCCGGCGTTGTCAGATTTTTGCAAACAAAAGTGCCAAGTAGAACGCAAAATCTGCCCCTTTTGAGCGTCGAACCAGTCAGTCAAACGACAAATGTCGGTAGACTTTCACTTATGTGGTGAAAGCGATTTATTTACATCTGAAATAGGAAAGTTACAATATTTCAGCAATAGATTATTTGGAAAGAAACCTTTTGCACAGAAATACAATTACGACTACCTATAACAAAATAAGATGCATCATATATAACCACAATATTATTACCATGGACAGGTCTAGCGTATTCGTTCCAGTCATCTTAATGAAGGCATCGCTAGCTTTGTTTACATGCAATCATGGCGAGACCGCTGGACATCGTCTTCTTGTTCTACTTCGCCAGTCACATCCCAATCACCATTTTTGTTGATTCACAAGCTCTACTTCCTTCGTGGCTCTATCCTCACCAGGTAAAGATGAAACAATGACTTTTTACAGGAAGATTTCTATCGCTTTGATATAGAGACACCCACTTGGCCTAGATACAACGACCATTACGGTCTAACGGTTATCGTGCAAATTTCAGTGATAACCTGCTGTCGGTCTCTGGGTATGCATATATATGTTGTGCATTTAACTTGAAGCGTACTTTTATTCATCAGGCAGTATACCCAACCTACGTATATCGACTTTCTAACTGTTGGAATGAAACTGTTTTGCTGAATTCAGATAAACGAGTTAATGAGAAATTACATGTACTGACTTCTCGGCTGTCAAGCTTATGACTGTCCTGACAGAGAAACGAAGGGCGGTAACTCTGAGAGATCAGAATGAATTTACTGTTGGTGCTGAAAGTTCTGTCAAATTTATATGTAATGAATTGAGTGTGGTGCATACTATATGTAGTTTATAATTTTATGGTGTCATTTGCATTGTGAAGTTGCCAAAGTATCTGAATTATGTGATAAACAGAATCTTGCAATTTGTTTAAATTTTTAGTAAGATCAGGGACGTATCTGGTAAGATTCATGAATGTCTTTACAAATTTCTCATTTGATCTCACCTAAAGTTCTGTAGATTAAACATTTCCAAGACAACTTTTATGAAATCATGAACAATTTCCTATTTATAATGTTTGTCTTACTTATATTCACAGTTACGTGATCTCATGACATGGTCTTACTTATATTCACAGTTACGTGATCTCATGACATGGTACTGTGCAGAGTTCAAGGACCCTATGATGGCTGCCCCGCCCACTTGGTTCAAGACTTTTGTTATGTCAGAACTCACCCTACAATTTCCGTTTTTCTTTGTGGCTTCCTATGCCTTCTGGAAGGGTATGTTTATTCTAATGATAAAATAAACAGGGTCTTTCATTGTAACTATAATGCAATGTGACATAGACACAGCAAGATCATGTGGAGCTCCTGTGACAGTTATTTCAACATCTGTGTGTAAATTATGTTGTAATACTCTTAAAATGAAGTTATGTCCAAACTTCTGAATTCAGTAATAAAAAAAAATGCTGAAAATCATTACAGATTTAAGTTAATAAAGCTTTAAATTTAATTTAATATTTTATTTAATAAGCTCACGTCAATCCCTCTATCAATTTAAAGCATTCTGATATGAGTTTGTTTTTTTCAATATTGCTATAAAAACTTTATGTACTAAAATCTGATAGTTTCATGTGCGATTTAGAAGTAACCTATCTGCATTCACTTCTGTTTATTGACATAACAATGTCACTATTTAAGCATACCAGAAAGAAGTGTCATTTATTGTATCATAAATGACATTCCACTGGTGACAATTATGACCTCTTTATTGTTGGCATAGAAACAATGAGGTACAAGATAACACGGCTTTTTGATTTTACATATTTACACTGTTGGCAACAAAAAACTTATTGAAATTAGTTACAATCTACACAAAAACATTGTGTGTAAGGAATGTTTTAAATATAAACATCAAACTGTCTCGTTTTTAGGGTATTTATTACCATCATAAATGACAGTGTTCCATAGGAAACAAACAATATTATGCCAGAGTGCTGTCAGATGTTTGCCTGCCAACCTCTGTCATTTATAATGACTATAAATTCCACAGCAAGCCAGTTTGATGTTGAGATATATATGTAACCCTGGCAAATACTGTTGACAATATATGACTGGGCTAGAGAGTACTTCCCTTTAGCTTGATCTATTGAGCGTCAGACTTGGAACCCGGGTTCCTGGGTTGGAGTCCTAGCAGAGGTACTGAAATACAAATGTAAATAATGACCACTGTTAGATATTTTTCTTTAAATATCAATATCACTTTTTCGGTCTTGGGTATGATAGTCACCAGCCCCTCATTGTAGGTACAAGTGAGTAATATGATGAATATTCATGGGCTAATAATTAACACCATTTAACTATTGTTATCTTATGTTAAAATTCCATTAAAATTCCATGAAGTTGTCAATATGCATTCAATCCTTTTGAAACTCTATTTTCCAATACTGGTATATAAGATTGATGTTTTCCCACTCATTCTGTTGCGCATGCTGTCACTTTAGTTTCTGTTTCAGGTGTCCAGCAGTGTCGATGGATTCGCATACCTCTCATTGTCTACTCGTCACATGTTGCCACGACGACAGTTGCGATATGTTATCATGTGCTTATGCATGATTTTAGTGGTGTGAAACCTCCAGGTCCAGAGACGTTTTCTGAACGGCGAACTTTATTTTTTGTGTACTTTCCATACCTCCTTGTGCCAATTATGCTGTTGATGGATTCTCTCTTTAGTTCAGTTTATCGAACCAAAGTCAAATCCAGTTAATTATTTGTAGAAGATATTTTCATTAAATCATATATATTTTTCATTATAATTGTGTAAGTGTTTATTTTAGGACAGAGAGAGAGAGAGAAAGTTTGATTTAGCTCCTATGGGAGTGTATTTATGCAAGAAGATACTACATGGGCTGACGTCATTGGTAAGTCTAACAAGTTAGTGAAGTGGTAAGTCTAACAAGTTGGTGAAGTGGTAAGTCTAACAAGTAAGTGAAGTGGTAAGTCCAACAAGTTGGTGAAGTGGTAAGTTCAACAAGTTAGTGAAGTGGTAAGTCTAACAAGTTGGTGAAGTGGTAAGTTCAACAAGTTAGTGAAGTGGTAAGTCTAACAAGTTAGTGAAGTGGTAAGTCAAACAAGTTAGTGAAGTGGTAAGTCTAACAAGTTGGTGAAGTGGTAAGTCTAACAAGTTGGTGAAGTGGTAAGTCTAACAGGTTGGTGAAGTGGTAAGTTCAACATGTTAGTGAAGTGGTAAGTCTAACAAGTTGGTGAAGTGGTAAGTCCAACAAGTTAGTGAAGTGGTAAGTCTAACAAGTTGGTGAAGTGGTAAGGTCAACAAGTTGGTGAAGTGGTAAGTCCAACAAGTTGGTGAAGTGGTAAGTTCAACAAGTTAGTGAAGTGGTAAGTCTAACAAGTTGGTGAAGTGGTAAGTTCAACAAGTTAGTGAAGTGGTAAGTCTAACAAGTTAGTGAAGTGGTAAGTCAAACAAGTTAGTGAAGTGGTAAGTCTAACAAGTTGGTGAAGTGGTAAGTCTAACAAGTTGGTGAAGTGGTAAGTTCAACAAGTTAGTGAAGTGGTAAGTCTAACAAGTTGGTGAAGTGGTAAGTTCAACAAGTTGGTGAAGTGGTAAGTCTAACAAGTTGGTGAATTGGTAAGTCTAACAAGTTGGTGAAGTGGTAAGTCTAACAAGTTAGTGAAGTGGTAAGTCTAACAAGTTGGTGAAGTGGTAAGTTCAACAAGTTAGTGAAGTGGTAAGTCTAACAAGTTGGTGAAGTGGTAAGTTCAACAAGTTGGTGAAGTGGTAAGTGCAACAAGTTGGTGAAGTGGTAAGTCTAACAAGTTGGTGAAGTGGTAAGTTCAACATGTTAGTGAAGTGGTAAGTCTAACAAGTTGGTGAAGTGGTAAGTCTAACAAGTTGGTGAAGTGGTAAGTTCAACAAGTTGGTGAAGTGGTAAGTCTAACAGGTTGATGAAGTGGTAAGTCTAACAAGTTGGTGTCAGAGAAAAGCTACATGCTGTAATGATTAACAAAGAATATACAGATTTTCACAGAATCTGAATTCTGAGACTTATTCGATGAAACAAGGGCAAAATATGACACAAAATTTACATGGAGACTACTAAAATAGTACAAGGAGTAAAAGTCTTCTTCATCGACGACACCCACCATGTAAACCTTGGTCAATCCAAGTTAGTAATGTCACATTCTCAAATGATAACAAGGTATACAACAACAGAGCCAACAAGCAAACCAAGCTTCATGTCACCCAAAGGAGAATATTTCCTTATGAAATGTCAGCACTTCTGAAAATTGTAAAATTTCTATATAATCTTCATCAAGCGAAATCAGAGCATTTTCCCTCAATATTCTGGACTTTTGATGAACATCTTATTACACAATAGTCAAAATATATACACATCATTCAACAAAATTACATGATTCAGAAAGATTTTGAGAAAATTTTCACATGATGATTATGCTAAAATAACATTAAAACATACTTTAACTTTTTCCAGACCCCAGCTAAATTGCTAGTTATATACTTTTTGTTTAAACGAAAAATGAAAAATGACAAGACGACTTTAATATTTTGTTTTTTTAAATGCTGTATTTCTCCTGTTGGGCCCTGCCCCTTCTACCCCGAAGGACTGAAATCCACGGTTTATACTAAATTCATTTCCCACCACCCAAGGATGCTCCAGACCAAATTTGGGCAAAATCTAACTATTCATACTGGAGGAGTAGTAAAAATAAAGAATTTTACTCTAAATCTCTAATTGAGCCCCGATCCTCCACCCAAGGGGCCAATACACACCATTTATTGTGTCGCCTGCAGTGCTTTGAGTTATCATATTGAAATTTGGTGTATGGCTTTTTGTTGCTAGTGTACAAAATAAGTTCGATTCCCGGCTGTCTGTGACCCTTTTTGGCAGAGTTATGCCCCTTTCAACCGAGAAATTTCCTGGGAATATTGTTTTCTTGACTTTCTTTGGTTATGCTTTGAGTTATAGAAATGACATTTGTTATATGCTGTCTGTGACACTTCTTGGCTGAGTTATGCCCCTTTATGCTTCAAGTTATAGAAATGAAATTTGGTATTACAACTTTATGGTTGATCGTTGCACATCCAGTTCAATTTCTGGGTGACCGTGACACTTTATGCAGGCGACACATACAGTTCTGAAGAACTCTTGTTCAAATTTGTTCCACTTCCCCAATGATGCTTCTGAGCAAATATGGTCACAATCCACTCAGCTGTTCATGGCTCATAGCAATTTGTATGAAAAAAGTTGACGGACGGACGCTAGGGTATGCCATGTGCATTCTTGGCCCTTTGGGCTAAAAATCAACATCAAATTTCTTAAGAATGTTTAAACATTGCAGTTTCATGACTGCATCTTCGCTTACTCCAAGTAAATTTTCATGTATTGAAAAATAAAATGGCAGGTGCGTCAAACTTGGACCAGATCACTGAATTTGATTCACAGTTTGCATTCAGCTTTGAGTGATATAGTTGTAATAGTGTCCCGACACTGGGGCGACGGATTTTGACGGGGTTTTCGTTATTATTATTTTTACGGCATTCTTAACATTATATCTAAATATAAAATTACACTCAGGGTACACTTTAAGTTTAACAGCATATGACATGCAAGCTAAAACACTTAACTTGAAATCGTTTGGTGTAAAACTGCAACTAATATAGGAGAGTTTATAAACAACAAAGTTCAAACTCTAGCTCAAACTTTAATTTTGAGATAGTTCGAAACCCCACATAGGGCATATTACTGAGAACGAGCGAATTATTCATAAATAATGTTGATTACATTTGATAAGTTTGATTAACGTTTTGTTCAATGTTATATTGCAGTTCAGATAATCAATACATGAACAATTCAGAGTTTCTAGATTGTTTTACGGCGAAATTCATTCAATTCTAAAATGTCCCCGTTTACGTGACATGACTACGTATACTAACGTACACGTGTATAAGTTCTGACGAGATGCTTGGTTCGTCATTTATAATCTGTGCAATTACCACTTATGTTGAACTTCAAGTATCAATGTTGTCAGCTAAAATGCTGCGTATTAGTTGTAAGAGTCGATGTGGAAAATTATTGACCTTTTTGTTGTTGTTTTAATTCTAATTTCAACTCCAGGTATGTGTTTTCAGTCACGTAAGAACTGAAATAGTGTTTTCTTTTTTTCTAAATGATTTAATTAAAGGAAATTCTCGGATCTATTTCATTTCTACTCTCGCTTTCCCTCCCTGTATGTATCTGTCCGCCTGTGTGTGTTTCTTCTCTCTGTCCTGCCGTATGTATGTCTTTCATTGTGTATGTCACACAGTCCAACCCTTTCTCTTATGTCTATCTGTCTGTCTGTCCGGACATAAGTAAGTCTGTGTATGTTGCTGTCGGTCCGAATGTTAGTATGTCTTTATGTATATCTGCCTGTTCGTCCATCCGTCTGTATGTTTGTTTCTATCCGGACATCGGTATCTCCATCTGTAAGTGTTTATATTTCTGTTGTCTGTCTCTGTATCTGGCTGTCCATTCCCGTTTTTTGTGCGTCTATATGTCGGTCAGTCTGTCCGTCTTTGTCTTTTCGATTGTATGTGCCTCTTGTCTCTTTTTGAATATTTTGAATAATTTTTGCTACTTTTTTAAAATAAATATACTAACATTATTTAGTAGTAATGAACATTACACAAGGCACGCTTCATTTTACCTATTACAATAGTCTATATTGTTATTCCGGACAAAATATAAGAGTGATACACTTGAAAAGATAAAGGGAATTCGTCCCCTATTTCCCCGATACATAAACTGCAAATTCTTTATTTTCTTGGAATTCCTGACCATCTTCCAGTTTCCGCTGATTGATGGAATTTGGATGTGCGAACATTACACAAAACATTTCTGTTTTTAGGATTAGGTTTCAAAAGATATTTCTTAATTACAAAATGAACTTTATAAACTTAATACTTTTGACAACGACCACTATTTTAAAAACTTAATACACTAGACAACGACCACTATTTTAAAAACTTAATACACTTGACAACGACCACTATTTTAAAAACCTAATACACTTGACAACGACCACTAAAAACACACTTGACAACGACAAAAACTTTACACTTGACAACGACTACTATTTTAAAAACTTAATACACTTGACAACGACCACTATTTTAAAAACTTAATACACTTGACAACGACTACTATTTTAAAAACTACTATTTTAAAAACTTAATACACTTGACAACGACTACTATTTTAAAAACTTAATACACTTGACAACGACTACTATTTTAAAAACTTAATACACTTGACAACGACTACTATTTTAAAAACTTAATACACTTGACAACGACAACTATTTTAAAAACTTAATACACTAGACAACGACTACTATTTTAAAAACTTAATACACTAGACAACGACTACTATTTTAAAAACTTAATACACTAGACAACGACTACTATTTTAAGAACTTAATACACTAGACAACGACCACTATTTTAAAAACTTAATACACTTGACAACGACCACTATTTTCAATATCGTTAATCGCTTTGGTATAAAATGACCATAAATTTGCTGCTGTAATCCGTTTGATTGAAGCAGGTCGTTTTTATTCGTCACAGTTAAATTATGATAGGACCACATGGAAATATAATTTAATCCGGTATCGTTAAGTAAATTATTAACAATTCTAATCCATTTAAAAAGTACTCCCGTCTTTCCCTGTAGATGAAATATGAACGTTACAGACATGTAGATATCTTACTACTATTTCGTGTGATCAGTTTTTC